CCAGCAGACCCTCTGAGAACACTCAGAAACATTTTCAGCTTCCGTGGAAGCATACAGTGCAAGCTGCGGATTTCACGCACTCAAACACTATCAAACTGACAAGATCGTTCACTGTCTATAGCTGGGTACACATTTCCACCTTTCCCAAGGACACAACGTTGGGCCCCTGACGGGATTCGTACCCACGGTTGTGAGTCCGAGAGCCTAACCACTAGGCCACCGACACCATATATATATATATTTATTAGATGTATTATATTTATATGTATATATGCAGGGTCCATGTGAGGCAGCGTGGTGAAATCAGGCGCACGTCAAAATAAGGAAAGTCAAGAAACTGGCATTTTTCCACAGGTTTTTGAATTTTTATCAAATTTTTTGTTTTTTCGCTCAACACCTTTCATGCCCATTAGAGAGCACATTTCCGTGCAGATTTCACTGAAAAACGTTGATAAAAGGCATAAAAGATATAAATTTTCAGTTTCCACAGACTCTCAAACAAAGGAAATAACTCAACTTTAGCAGCCTTTTTCTCGCTAATTTTGCATCTGAAACCAGGTGACCCCCTCCTCCTTAAATCACCAATATCTTGACTTGTATCCGAGATAAATTGATATTTTTTTCATCTCAAGCCAGGCAAATGGACAGGCTTTATGACAATACCAATAACTCCATATGCCCTAAAATTGACGAGCACCTGATTCAACCGCATTGTGGAAAAAACACACACACACACATTTATATATATATGTTTAGTAGCGTACATACTATATAAATTTTGCACATAATACATCTTAGCAGTCAACCCTTGGTGTACGTGTTCACTATGTGCGTATATATATCATACATATGTATTTCAATTGAGTGTCATTATTGTATAAAATAGTGTAGGCTATGTATGGTCAACATATTACACAATCATTTTAAACGGACAGGTAGGCCTATGTAATGAATGTTGTTTCATGTTGATTTTATCGTTTTATCTTTTCGTTTAACAGGTTGAAGCATCATGTCAAGCAGGAAAAAGCAACTGAGTGGGGATATTCATATTCCCCTCTGTCAAAAAGCCAGCTGTAAGGCTCAGCTGACAGAGTTAGCTGCTGCTTTACGGAACAAGGAGTTAACCTGTGTCACAGATTACAGGCCCTGTAAGTTTATCCAGTTACACTTGCTGACCCCAGTGCATTCCTTTTTCCACAGTCAATATTTTGACATATTTCCCGTTTTCAAAAAAAAGAAAAAAAAGATTTAAAGGTGTACACATCTGTTCTCTAAAATATCTTTTTTTGTTTTTTTTTCAGGAAAACTGAAATGATTCTGTCTCTCAGCTGTTTTTTTAGATGCAACTATTTTTATTTGGTACCAACGTTCATTTTTCATTTCTGTCTAATACCATGTTCCTGAAATCATTCCACATAAGCTGCAGAATCTAACGTAGTTATCTACCTCTCCCCCCCCTCCCCACACACACACCCAGGTGAATTATGGTTTGAATAAAAAGAAGTTAAAGTAATGATAACACCAGCTTTGCCAGGTTCGATGCATAGGCTTAAAAATTTAAAATAAGAGCAGATCTGGTTGTGTTATGAAAAGGAAATGACATTTATAATTTTGAAAGCTAAAAAAACTACAAAAGAGGCTTCAGAATTTCATTTGTGCCACTCATAGGCATAAAATACAAATTCAGTTTGTATGACTTGTATTCTATTGTGCTGCATATGTATAAGTGGAAGTTCTTATGGCATTGCTCATGTGATCTAGCAGGTGATTTGAAAACTGACAACTTAGGGCAAGCAGTCTATGGTTCTAATAATAAGTCTAATCAAATCATAGAGTCTTGCTTGAGGTCTGTATGTAAAATAAATGGATTAGCACCAGTGATAGTAAATGGGGGATCTTGAATTCGCTCCCTGTTAAAAAATATGTCACCAGTCAGAGAAGCTGATCCTGAACTCGCCCCCCCTTGGTATAGATATAGCTAAATGAGGCAGTTTCAGGGAAATCGAGCGCTCACTATTATTGCAGCTGCGCTGCATTCGCGCATTGTGTGACCTAAGCCTAGTCCAGACTTTCTCTCTGCTCCAGACCATGGCATAGACTGAGCAGCCCCCCCCCCCCCCACACCCACACACCCACATACACGCTGTTTTTAAAAAAGTGAAGCTTATGTTACTGTAATGATGTCACTGGGCTTAGACAGATTGTTGTGTGGGTACACTTGAATGAAGTTTTAGAAAGGTTATCAATCACTGATGTCTTGTGTATTGCACACCTGTGTTGTGTTTGAAGTCGTATTCTTATCTCCTCATGGTGAGTAAAGATAGCTATAACACTGTACTTCAAATTAAGAATACATACACGCACACACAATGCTCAGAGATGCGAATGATCATTTATCAGTTTCTATACCCTACTTCTGTCATTTTTAAAACTATTCGATTACAAAGGGGGGGGGGGGGGGCAAGTTAAGGGTCAAACTTTCTGCTACGTAGGGCTGTGACATCATGGGGGGCAATTGCATTGCGTCCTAGTAAATATTTGAAAATCATAAATGATCTGCTTGAAAGAGGCTGGTGGTTGGTTGTTGTGTGTGGTTCTCTGATTTTGCATGGTATTAGTGTTGTCTCTTTTTTTGTTTTACTCTTTAACCATTTCATTCAACAGTAATAGATTAAGTTATGAGGCATATATGATATCAGCATCATTTTACCTTGCTTTTTGGTGTTGAAGTTCTAGTGCTTTTAATCAGGGGTGGACAAACTTCCCTGAATAAAAGTGCAAGACAGACTGAAAAAATAAGCAAAATTGCAAAGACAGACTACTCTCACCACTTACTAGTGCTCTTGCTATGTTGGTATGATGATTTTGTGAAACATAGGAAAAATGGCAAGCTGTATATTAGTCCCTTTGAAATTGAGAGAGTTATTAACTATTAAGTTGTTTCTGCTCTTTGCTTAACCTAAAATCTGAGATGGCAGTTTTTCCATTTCTCTTAAGATTAATTGCTGTTGACTTTTTGGAACAATTTTTTTGCCTGGTGCAGTATACATACCATCTTGACACAAAATTGTGCTATATATAAAGAAAATGACAACTACCATCTATTGCTAAAACCACAAATAGAGAAAGAAAGAAATGGATTGATATAGAAGGAAAACGACACGGGAAAGTTAAAGGATCACGAGAAAGGATTTGTACTCTTAACAATTGTGGCCTCAAAGACAAGAAACCAGAACTCTTTACTTTCATGAAAAGGTGGAGAATACCAAAATTTGGACTGTCGGATTGCCGTTTAAAAGGAAGAGGGACCAAGAAAATACTTTAAAGATATTTAAAAACCCTCCTTTCTCCCTTGAAGAAAGAGTCATGTAAACTTCTATTAAGTAGGATGATCCCAAAAAAAAACTGAACAACTTTTTTTCTGAATATCTCGCGCAAAAATTGTTCTAGAACGCTGTAATTTGGAACAGACATAATTCATTCAAAAGGAATTTGTTTGATATAAAATCCACGAAGAAGAAACTTGTTTTGAAAATGGAAACGTTTTTTTTTAAAAAGCACCCAAAAACGCAAAGTTCACTAATGTTTAAAAATCTTGTAAAGGAAGTCGTGAAAAGATTAGCTGACCGTATTCTTTATTTTCTCTCTGACATTAATTTTCCATCCCTGTAACATCTAAACAATATTTTATTTCGTTTACAGAGTTTTAAAAACCTAATGATTTCATTTTGAATTTCCTAGAAGCAGTGCTCCACATTCCCACCTTTGGACTCGACACATTTTTAACGCGTCGTTCGAAATGTTCAGTGGCACCCTAACACAAGGACCTGTTAAACCATGAGTCTTTAAAGCCGCATACACTGTACATGTTCACTAAGAAGTGGCTTCTAGAGACAATAGAGTGGGGTGCCCAATAGACAGCATTTTTGGAGTTTACATATCCCGCAGGATGAAAATGGGCTTTGCACTTAACCAAAAGTCATCGAGGAAATGATCCCTCTTTACAAGACAATTGAGGAATTATGAAAACATTGCCATTCTCTGATCCATGTCATCTCGGCCTAGCGCAGATGAACATGGTATAGTCGTAGGTTAAGATCTGCCATGATGTGTAGGAAAGTCCTAGCTGCAGATCGTTTATGGACAGACGTCTCATGGGACTCAGCTACTGAAATCTGCACTCCGGTGACGTTTAAAGGGCTGCGCGTGGTGCGTGTTCGACCTGAAGTGGTCTTTTTTTAAAGAACTTTTTAGTTCTGATTCGCTATAGATCCAAACTGACGGAACTTCTTAACTCATGACGCCAAAGGTTTTGAGGGCACATAAGCATTCTCTCCATGCCGTGCGCAGAACTTACGAAATGTCAGGGGTGGTGAGTTTGTGGAGAGGTAAAGTTCAATACAAAAAGCTGTCTGCTCTTTACTAAACGTAGCCATGATCTCAGCATTCAAACAAAATTTGGGAAAAATAATATCTGCAGACTTCTGTTGACTTGTTAGACTGATGTAGCTTGGAGGTAGGCCTAATGCGAACTGGTGCGTCATGCTATGAAAATGGCGACAAGGTTGAAAATGGGTTGTTTTTTTAATGCGCTATATAGAGCAAAATCATTCAATGGACTTATCTAAAATACATATCAGAAAAATTCCTTTTGGCTTCCAAACGTTAAGTTCAAATCTGAAACGCAAGACTTCAGTATGGGGGAAGATATTTACAAAACAAGTTGTAAATTTTTTTTTGGATCACCCTGTAGGTTAAACAGCATATGTTTAAGTGAACTGTCAACCTGTCTTTCTGACTCCTTCATCTTTTTAACAAAGGGAAATGAAGGTCACACTATCATAGCTTTCCCTCTTCAGTACATTAAGAAAAGCTTTTAGGTAGGAAAAATGTTAACTCCTAAGGGGTATTCATTTAAAGACTCAGTTGTTTGGGGGAAAAGAAGAGTTCTCCGTAATGTGCTTTGAATGGATGAACACTCACTTCCCAGGGTCAGTATATTATGTTTGGTTGGTATATATATCTGTTTCCATCTTTCTCTTGGATCAAATTTAAATTTTCTTTTTTTTCTCTCTCCATTTCTGCAGTTGGTAAATACAGTCAGTGGTTTCAAGAGGCATTTCAGGAAACAACTTTCACCATTATACACAAATGCCCTTTCTTATGGAGGAAAGTAAGTGGAAATCCTTGTATCGTGTACTGTATGTTAATATATTTTTGTTATGAGGTGGGAAGAAGGCAGTGCGATGGATTGGATGTCTCAGGAAGTCAGGCAGCTGCTTAATAAAGAAAGTTGGATTGAAATCCTCAGGGTAAAAGATCAATGGGAAGACCATGTGGTACCTGGAGAAAAGTCACAGAAACTGATGTGCAGAAAAGTGGGAAGACATTGAATAGCAACAGCTGACATCATACCTTACATTTGAGCTGTATGGTCCAAAGTGTCAGTGAGCTTTTAAAAATATCTTTACTTAGGGTAATTCAATGCATTCTAAAATGATTCATAAAAATCCAATTTTTACTACACACTTAGCATTGAGACATTCAGAATACATCAAGATTGCACTACGGCTCATTCTTTTACACCATTGTCTACTTTAAGTCATGAGTGAAGCACAAGAATCATGTGCTTAAATGTGGTTTTTATGAAACTGCTCAACTTTGACAAGTGGAAGAGGTACCCCTTGCTTATTTTCTCATATCCATTTATGTTTTGGTCATATTAAGCGGAATAGCGGATTGTTTTTACTGATTAGATACTTTTGAGACTAAAGTCACATCACTCTATTTTTTGGTGTTATCATTGTTAGAGTCAAAATGTAAACATAATTATTTTTCAAAATGTTCAAATTTCTTCAAAATGCAACCTCAAGAACTTGTTACAACGGTACGTGAACCTCTCTACTGTTGAAGTAAAAATATTTGATGCCACCTGACTAGTGCATAACTGTTATAGAACAATACCGAGTTTTAAAAAAATACAAAGCTCCATTTTTTTCACTTTTTCTGCTTCTGAGAGTTTGTATATAATGAATGTAGCTCATTGTAGCCAAAAAATTGAAATGATACAATTCTATTTTCATGTTTTTGTTCATTATTGTTTATTACCGCTGTTTGGTACAAGTCGACTAACATTTCAACAACAGACACAAGAATGTTTTTTTAAAACTGTTTGGCTACTTGACTACACAGATTAGGTGTGCATACACACACACACATATATATATATATATATATATATATATATATGGACGAAGATTCATGCAATTTGACCGATATTTGTTTCATGGCCTCTGTCACCCAGAGCTGGTTGTAACGGAGTACAAGTATGCCGGTACTTGTACTTACATTACAATTTTCATTACTTTTGCTGTACTCCGGTACATTTTGAGAACCAGTACTTTTACTGTACTCCGATACTTTTTATAGAGGTACTTTTGAGTATTTTTAAAGTACATTTTGAGTAATTTTGAAGCTTATTGAAAGAGTAAGTGCCGGCATTTCTGATCATAATTTACGGAACAAACACCGGTGCGGGCTCAGCCGATCAACCAAGAGTTAAAAGTTGAGATCAAAGAACTGCCCGTCGCATCAAAGATCAGCCACTCTCGTGAATGTGATCACAAGCGTTGTAAAACTCCATGAAACTGTACAATGATCCTCAGACGGGATCACACCGAGGTGTGAACAGACCGATGCGTTTCTTTTCCACAAACATCGCTCTCGCATCTGAGCTCGCCACCTGAACTCACATCACTCGCTGGGTGGATAGGGCCTACAAGTTCGCTCCAAGGCAGGATCACATCGAATTGTGAACTCTTCCCTGACCATTGAAGTTGAAGGCAGTTTTTCTCTATTCCCGACTTTGCGAGACAGCCTGAATTCTAATTGGTGTGGTCACAGCGTAATGGTACGTAACGACAAAGGCAGGGGGAACTCAATCAGAGATGGAAGGCTACAATTTTTGGACAGGTAAAGGGGAGGGGCAACTGGATCAATGTAGATAAAGATCTCGATACGATATATTATGCTAATGAGTGTACGGTAAAATATTAAGGCATGCCTCATGCTACCATACTACTGTTATTGGTCATCAAGGTTGACCACTCTTTGCTCGCCATATGCATAAACCCACCCAGGGGTCACGTCAGTTCATGGGTCGCTGTAGATTCTTCCTTGGCTTCGTAGGCTAAGATCCCGTATTTCCCTTGCTCCCAAGCACTGGGATCTTAGGCGGAGACTACTGTAGTAGAGAATTTTTGGTTACACTACACTTACTAGACTCTAGGAAATTACATGTAGGCCTATTTTGGTTTGCCGTGGGCGCCGTGGACTACACAGTGTGACCAAAATCTGTCTTACCACTATTATAATCAATTGAAACTCAATGTATATCAATCTAACAATTTTTTAGGCTACCTAAATTTCTTTTAAACTTTTTTTGTGGTTTGTGCTTAAGGCTACCTTGATTCCTTGAGGATTTGTTAATAAAGAATTCAATGCGCGTTTCCATTTTTTTTTGCTGGCGATTTTCATCAATTTTATATTTTCTTAAGAGCAACTTTGTCTCTACATTTTCCAATTTGGATACTTTTCCTACTTTCGGACCTCTAGGACTGACTTACATTTGATCATATTGTCTTGCTCAAACAAGTTCTATTCATGATATCACTTACTCACTAGTTGCGTCTGTTTGTTTGCTGGGTTTTTATTTTCAATTTCACGAACCATTTCCACCTACGTTCAGTGCGTATATTCAAATGCTTTGTATACTGTTTACATTATTAGTAATAAATGGCCTAATTTGTCAAATATACTAGATATGTTATTCAATATGATGTTTTGCATTAACACTGAAGTGTTTCATCATATTAGCAGAAAGTACTCAAAGTGTACTCATAAGTACATTTTACAGGAAAGTACTTTTACTGTACTTAAGTACATATTATTTTAGATTGCACTTAAATTTGTACTTAAGTACCTTTTTAAAAGTACTTTAACAGCTCTGCTGTCACCTTCATGAGATCTCCACCATTTGGCAATGACTAAGATACAGGTCATGTAAATATGACGCATACAGAGGGTTTGAATTGCTGCTTTGTATGTTGTAGTTTCTGTCTGTGGGACCTCACTTTTAATGACAGATCAAATTGTGAAAAATTGGCTGCAGCGAAAAAAAATTCATATTAGCTTTTTTTTTCTCTTTAACTGTTTGATTGATGTTGAAACTGATAATATTAATAGTCAAATCAAAGAAAGGGGAAAGATGATATTCTTCTTACCATGAGTTCATTTTTTAGGTTGAAAAAAATTTGATTTTTGTTTCATACAGTGTACACATCAGCCGTCGTAAGGGAAAGCAACGAATGGTCAAAATTTTTCAATTTGTGGATTTTCACATATTTAATAGTGTATCTAATTCTGCATCTCACGGTGTAAACATCTTTGTTATAACTTAATCCATGGTTGCGTTATTGAGAGTTCATAGTTTTCCCGTACACTGGCGAGCTCCGAGCCAGAACTCAGTTTAAGGGAGAATGATGTATGGTCGATCAGTCAAGGATCACTGCTCGTTTGGCGTTGTCCCCTTGTCTCTGCCGTCAGGCAAATTGTGGCATAGGGGACGAATGGCAATTGGTCACTGTTGCGTGAATACAAACATACTAAGCCTTTTTTAGCAGACATACACACCACCACCCTTTCCCCCGGAGTACAATCGACCAGGATTATAAAAAAGTATCACCTAGGGTGTCTTTTTGTGTTCTTCACATATGCTGACGGTGTGTATTGACAAGAGCAAAGAAGCTGGTGATGTGTATAAGTAAGAGCAGCCTGGAAAGAAGGGAAAACGGATGGGAATAGGGGAAAACGTGGGGGGGGGGGGGTAAAAAATTCTTCAGGGAGAAATTTATTAGCACTGCATATTTATTATTGTCCGCCAGATGTTCACAGACTAACGTCATATTAGTTTGCTGTTCACTCATTTGACGTCCTAACGATGGTTATAGTGCCGCAATTTCTCTAGCACGTTGTCACTTGTTGACTTCTTAAAGAATTACCTGACAAATAATGGTACCGTGTTATGAGAGTAATTTTTTTGTCCAGCTTAAAAAGTGGACGTATTGTGGTGACACTTAGTCTTGCTTTACGATTTCTTTATGACTTGATGCTACGATCAAGTATAATAATGCCTAGAAAATTCAAACTTTACTTGGTGGTATGAAACAACAACTCGTTGTTTTTCCATTAACTGAATCTTATATTAAATACGAGCGTCTCATTACCTCTCCCGAGACCGTTTGTGATACAATCTTGTCAGATTGCTACATTTCTTACGTGAAAGTTTGACTTTGCAATTATCTGATCATATTATTGACCTTGTAACATTATGTATCCCTTTGGTTGTGCAGGGAGAATTTTGCAATTAGCGAAAATAAAAGTAAAACTCGCTTCTGAAGAGAATGCAAGAAAGAAATCTCATCGAGGCCAAATCCTGAATCCGAATCAGTTTTAAATCGAGCTGTTTAAAATGTGTTTTTTAAATAACACATCAGATTTGTACATTGACTGTGTAATATTTAACCAAGTCCTTACTTGTCCTTACTTGTCCACTGTGTTGGGGTCACTGCAGTCGGAACATGTCCATCTCTGCTCTTCCCCCCTCTTCAGGATCCATCCCAGAGTCTGTCTATTTATAGTTTCCATCATGATCTGGTTGGAGATCCGTTGGACTGGTCCGCACAGATGGCTGTGTTTCCCCTCTCCTCTTTGGATCCCCTTCTCCTTCAGTCTCCCTAGAGTGTGGGAACCGCTATCCACCCTGTTCTTCCTCAAATTTTCCCTTACAGCGGTTGGACAGTCACCTGTCCCCAGTTCCTAAGCCAGACAAGGACCCAAGCAAGATTGCCTCATATCGCATAGTGACCATGCAAAATTTAACCAAGTGAGGAAGGGAAACAAACCACGCTCACAGGGTTACAGTTGGGATATAACAAACACCTAGTTTGAGTACGTCTTATTTCTAATTGCAATAACTTGTACACAGTCATCTCTGTCAGTGATGTGTCACAACTGACCATTTCCTACGCCCATAACCCTTAACGAGTGTAAAGGAGAATGGCGAACGGTACCATTCGTTGTTTTTGCTTACATTGTAAGGCTTACCTGCGGCCGTGCAGTGTAAGGGAGAAGGATGAAGGTCAAATTACATTGCTACTTTTCTTCCTTTTAACCATTTGAACTTCGAAATAGCTTTTTGACAACCTTAACCAGATATCTGGTGAATAAAAGCTTAAAAGAATAAAAAATAGACGAGTTATAAAGTGAAAACTTTTTTTGCCTCTCCTGAAAAATTTGCCTTGCTACCTGGGCAGGACCATTCGTCATTTTCCCTTATGACATCAAACATGTCTATAAATTTTGCCAAATTAACATTTGTCATTTTATGATGCATTTCAGATGAACACATGTCTAGATTTGCTGAAAGAATCTTCGAAAATCATGGCAATTGATATCAATCCTGAGCATTCATCTGTAGATGAGAAGGAAGATGTGGACAGCTCTTTTGTTGAATTTTTTGAAGATCTGATGACACATGAAGTAAAAAATAAGGAGACTCTTGGAGCATTCCTTGACATGATCACCCCATATTTAAGAGATGAGTGTGACGAGTCTGAACCTGCCAGTGAGCCAACAGAGAACTCTTCAAACCCGTCTGGCTCCACAAGTGTCAGTGGTGGTGATGACATTGCTTCCATGGTAAGGTGTAGGCCTACAGTGTTGAAAATTAATGTACCCGGTATATTATTTTATTATTATGTAGGCTATTATTGATTATTACATTTTTTTTTGGTCATGTTCTTCTGCTTCCCGAAAATACCATCTTAATAATTCCTAATAAAACTTACAAATCAAATAGATGAAAAACCTTTTCAATTATGGTTCAGAAATGGTGGAACTATTTTTTTTAAAAAAATGGAAACTCGTTTTGGCCAAACAGTTGATTTTTACTTTATCAGCCTTTACAGTGTTACTCAAAACAATATGGGCAGACTTTTCCTCCCTTTCTCCATGCACACACACTGATGTGCAGGGTGAATTAGTATTTATTTCAATGGGTCTATTCAGGGGAAAAAAGATAAAGTACTTGAAGGTGAATTTTTTTAGTTGCCTCTGCCAAAACTTTGAAATTAAAGAAAAATATGCTTAGCTTCCATTGTCAAGGGCTTTATAAGCTTTTTTATTCTTGGGAATAGATGTTCAGGGAAGAAACAGTTGTTTTTTTGCACATTCCTTTTTTTCATTTTGTGATGGGCTTTCCTTATGTTTGATCTCATAATAAATGGGGAAGGTAAGGAAACCTGGCTGTGAAATACTAGTTGTTGAATCCATTAAGTTATGCATTGTTACACTGTGTTCAAATTCTGACTCCATGATTATATTTTAGGTATGTCTCTATTCTACTTTATCAATTGCTCTGATAATGAGTAGTCTGTGAGACGTCTTATTTAAGTGAATACCCTTTGGTTTGTAAATTTTGTGTCTTTTGTTAAACAGTGGTTGTTGTCTAATGGTCTTTTTTCCATAAAACTCTAGATCTAGTGGTTTTGTTGTGTTGTTTTTGACAAACATGGTTATTTTTTCGAATTACTGATTTTTTCTTTTTTTTTATTGGTGTACTTAAAGTTTTCAGACTTTTAATAAGCTATCATTGCAAGTAATGAGAGGAATTACTGTTTGTTCTGCAAAGTTTTTCTTGTTTGTCTAGTTACTGTTTAAATTCTGAGTAGGTTACAGTAGACTACCACACTGTGATGATGCAAAGAATGGAATGTACTTTTTATGTGTAAGGAAGTAGTAGTTATACTGGGTGACCATTGGCAGGATTGAGCTGGGTTGGGTTGAGTTGTTTAATGGGGGCGTCAGTGTACTCTACCAATAGACCCCTGCCTTGCTTGATAAGATTTGACCCTGAAGTAAAAATAAAGAAAATTTTTCCCAGGGAGACAGAAACTTGATGCAGAGCAGAGGTCATAACCGGCACCGTATCTGAACGTACAACTTTCAGGTCACAACACAGACATTTTTTTTCAACAAAGGCTTCAATAAGTACTGACTGTCGCATATTGGTTGCTGTGTTCAGAGTTTGTTGAATCCCACTGTCATGGGAAATTTCAATAGCTTTCTATCAGCCTCACCAAAGCCTCACCATCTGACCTTGATGTCGCATTGTTATGTGACTTTTATGCTACAAACCTTGTGATTGGCTGTTTGCAGTCATGACCCATTCAACTTGTGCCTAAAAAAACAGTTATGTTTGATTTTGCAGGATTCAACTGAATTGTGCCCAAATGGTAGCCTTTGCCCCTCCATAAAGGAAAATCTGGTTGACCCCAACGGTATCGAATGAATCAAATGTATCAAATGGGTAATTTGCACACAGTGATTAGATTTCTATAAAACCCTTTTTGCTATTTGTATTCTTTGCCAGAGGGTCGGTGACCAAGAAGAAGAAGAAGAAGCAGAAGAAAACAGAGACGGTTTTAAAGTCCACCCAGACAAGTTCAACTGTAAAATTTTCTCCCGAGTGTTCATGAGAAGCAGCAGCATCAGTTTTGCAAATCATGAGAGTTATGGATGTAAGTCGCTTGTTTTAAAATGCTTTGTTGTTTTGCTTCTTTCACGACTCTTTCATTTTTATTCATTAGTCTACTTCGTAGGGAGCAACCAAAACCTTATTTTCTCAATTTTATTACATTTTTATTAAAAAAAGAAAAAGAACTAGTAATGTGTCCTGAACACACACATGCACACACACATGCACATGCTCACATGCATATTTGAGTCTGTGGTGTGGCAGATAGATGCTTCACTGTTGTACGGAGGAGACCCGAGTTTGATTCCAAAGTGGGAGAATTTTTATGGGGTATCTTGATCTTTCTTTTGGGACGTTGTATCCCTCTCAGACAGGGTTGACCCTGACAGGCAGGGTGTAAGCCTGCCTTTTAAATGATCTAAATTATGTCGATGGGGTGGGAGGAGGGGGGGGACTGAAAAAAGAAAGCTGTTACTTTTCTTCAAGGCCAAACAATATTTGGCAGGGAACAAGGGTAGGAGGAAAAAAAGAAAGAGACAGTGAGAGAGAGAGAGAGACAGATGGAGAGGGGTGGGAGGAGGGGGGGGGGGAAGCATAGGCCAGGGCAAGATCAACTCTGGGAATCAATTCTTTTGAGTCCAAATGAGGACTCTAAGAATCAATCTTGTTCACAGACTCAAAGCTTCGAGTCTGCCCAGGGTCGATGCCTCTTGTCTCCTTTTTTTTTTTTAGCTGGGTTCCTAGCCTAGACTCCAAAAATCGAGTCGAGAATCTAAATCCTTACCGCACTACGAAGTCCTGTCGTGGGGTAGGGCTGTCCTGTGACACAGTCGAGTTTTTCGCTTCAAAACAGATACCGCACCAGGAAAGGATTGATCCGGTGCATAAGGCGGCTTCTTTGATGTTGCCCTAGGTGGAGGTAAAAATTATGCACTCCAAAAATTTTTTAAATATTGGCCAAATTAAAAAAATAATAAAATTTTCGGGATCATTCGCCCACAATTAGCAGAAATTATGCGGGGAACTCAATTTAATACCCGATTACCAAGTGAAATTAATATTTGTGAGTTTTGTTTAGTTAAGGTTTTTTTTTTCACTATTTGAATTTGGCGTGCACTAGGTCTAGATAGATTCAAGACTGTCTTCAAGGTGGATGAATCGAGACTGCATGTGCCTGTGCTCTGTTGCTTTGTATTAGACAAAAGAGAAAGAGAAAACAGTGTTAGGTCATCCTGTCCCACCGATGTTGTAGCAATTCACAACTGCTTGGGACTCAATGCAACAAAAATGTCCTGTCCCAATAATACAGGTCAAAGGTTTCAAATGTCAGACCCCGGGACGAACTGTCGTAGGCCTAGTGCGGTAGGGGCCTTTGGCAAGAAACAGCCAGTCAGTCGCTATCAATTGTCTCACGCACCCCACCCCCCTTTCCTCTTCCCTGCTGTGAGTGAATGTGAAACTAGGCCTAGGCCTACTTGTCGTGTCTACCGTGTAGCCCAGTACGAAACCACGCTGCACGTAGGCTACTGCTACTTTGAATCTTGTTGCCCCACGCCCGCTCATCCCAAATTAAATCATTCACTTCCTTTTCCTCTTTCTTTTGTCTTGAACGCTTGTTTTTGAATTTCACTGCACTTTCATTCTCACTGCTGTTGTATTTTGAGCTTCATTTCTTAGCATTCTTTTGTAAATCATATTGTGTGTTTTGAGTTGATATCAATGAGTCATCCTGTCTGGAAGTCGATCTCTAGCTTGGGACTTTTTTTATAAGCAGGAAAACAAAGTTGTTTGTATGATTTGTAAAAATGTTTTGGCTTACAATAACACTGCGTCGACAATGACAAAACATTTGTCATCAAAGCATGCTTTGACATATCAGGAAGCAAAGGATGCAAGAGAGAAGGAGCCTGTGCCCCACTCATTGGCAAGAGTGATAGAAGGGAGGCAACCCTACAAGCCTACCTACAACACACACACACACACACACACACACACACACACACACACACACACACACACACACACACACGCGCAAATGCGTGAAAGTCAACTTGTCTTGGTACACACGCAGGCTTTGCCAGCTATGTCTGTCAAACTCGAGACTTGAGGCCTCGAGTCTAAAAGCTATTTTTAGCAGTCTTCAAGTCATGGCCTCTAAACAGCCAGGCCCCCAGGAAGCAGCTTCCAAACTCAAAAATCGGACTCGATTCCTCGATTCTTTGTCTGTTTTGGAATCGAGGTCTCAAGTCTTTTTGCCACCGATCTTGCCCTGGCCTAGAAAAGCACATCTACATTAAACATTTTTCTTAAAAGCACACGTATACCTACACATTTTGATGATGTTGTTCTTTAACCTTGTATGCAATTGGAAGAAATACATGTAGGTCAACGATCTGCAGGTCCTCCTCAAAATAGATCAGCTCTTCTATGCCTTCTCTAATCTAGTCAGGAGGTTTTTTATAATTGGGTATTGTAAAATTTTCAGGAAACAAGCAACGTGGTTAGAGCATTACACTGTTGGGGTTTATATGGCGAGCAAAGAGTAGTCAACTTTGATGACCAATCACGGTGGCATGAGGCATGCCATTTGCACTTTATTATCCTTTTGTGAGTCCAGGGATGAAAATTTTCCGTAAATTTACGAAATCCGTAATTTTGGTTTGCTCTGTCATTTTCCGTAAGTGGGTCCTGACCTACTTTCAATGGTGAATCATTCTACTATGTTCTAATCTACAATTGAATAAGTGTATTTTTCCAAATAAATCTGCATAGCCCGTGAAAAGTTCAGTAAATTCTGGACTGATCAGTAAGTTTCCATCTCTGTGAGTCTTAAGATTTATGCTTATCCAGTTGCCCTTTCCCTTTACCTGTCCAAAATTTATAGCTTTACTTCTCTGACCGAGTTCCCCCGTCTTTGTCGTTACACACTATTACTTTGTGACCACATCAATTAAAATTCAGGCTGTCTCTCAAATTCGGCAGTTGAAGCGAGTGATGTAAGTTTAGGTGGAGAGCTCAGTTGCGAGTGTGATGTTTGGGGAAAACAAACCTGTCGGTCGATTCACGCCTTGGTGTGATCCTGTCTAGGGCAAACATTGATTTTACAATGCTTATGTGGTCATATTCACAAGAGTTGCTGATCTTTGACGTGAGGGACAGATTAGTGATCTCAAATTTTCACTCTTGGTTGATCGGCTGTGCCCGCCCACGTTTTTGTTCCAGTAAATTATGATCTGGATATTAGCCAAATGTAGATCTTCAAAATGAATCAGCGCAGGATCTAAGGGGTGATTTTTGTGTTGTGGATCTTAAGCGAACCAGGAACCATAAGCGGTGGGATCTTAGGTGGAGACTGCTGTGTATGTATATATTTGGGATTCAATTGAGAGAGATATAGATAGTAAGATAGATAGATAGATAGATAGATAGATAGATAGATAGATAGATAGATAGATAGATAGATAGATACATACATAGATAGATAGATACATAGATAGATAGAGAAATGGGTATTGATATGTGTGTGTGTGTATATATTATATATGTGTGTATGTGGCGTACTGATAGGCTTTCTGTTGTCTCAGTCAGACAGCATAATTTTGATATATGGGAATGGGGAAGATATTTTATTTTATAGAGTATCCCCATCTGTCTGCTTGAATGCTGTATCCCTCTCAATCTGGGTCCTGACAAGCAGGGTTTTAGCTGCCTGACTCGCAAATGATCTGAATTTTGTTGACAGCAAATGATCTGAATTTTGTTGACAGGGAAATGTGAAACACTCCGTATTGAATTTAATTGATACATTATTGTCTTGGGTGCTTTAATCAGGCAATTCCTTTTCTTGTTCATACTCGAATAATGTCCCTGATCTTCTAGCATTTAGAATACTGCAGAAGCCATCAATATATTATATATATGTCTTTGAGAGTGAATCAAAGGTGTTTTCCCTCATAAATGTTTTGGTTGGCCTTTTATTTTTCTATTGTTTCTTGGCATTTGGTTGAAATGCTTGTTAGTTTTTAAAATTCCCTTTTGCATAATTTTGCAAAAAAAATTAGATACCTTTTTGTTTCATATTTGCAACTTGCGGGCATGAAATGTACCATATATATATATACTTAGTTCAATAGATTTTTTTTGTTTTTTTAATCAAATGTTTTGTTTTTCAAAGATTCAGAAGGTCCCTGTATGAAAATGAAGAACACCATTGATGGACTGAAGGTCAAATTTGCACATGACAAAGCCAAGATCCTTTCCAATCTCCAGTACATCTTATTTAAGGTGATAAAACTGTCACAGATGTTTACGTCTTCACCTGAACTTTGTTTATACGCTACTGCAACTGCACTAGGATTGATCAGATCAGATCAAAGAGATATTTTTATTTAAATTTACACATCATATATAGCACTGCCAATGGGGCTTCTGCGCGCGGCCAAAATTTGTTCAGGGTAGGAGAGTAAGTGACTAACTTTCTCAACCTCGGTCTGCTCTTTTTCAGGACCAATGTGAATGAAATTTGGCAGCCGATCAGAAAATAGGGCAAACTAATGATATGTGGACGTTGAAGCTCGTACACATAAATTAATCTATACTTTTGGTGTCCTCAATAGTGTCCTCAAATTTGAATGTTCTGTGTCAAGTAGTTGTTTAGACCTAATCATAAATGCAGGACTACCTTCCCATCCAAAAAGGCTTCTCACGGAAACCGGCCATTTTCCCCTCACTCCCTCGGCAAATGTATGTGACCTACAAATCCCCGCATGACTATTCCGAGCCCGTTCATTTTTTTCTGATAAATTTATATTTTCGATTTCGGTGTTTATCTTTGTCGAGATTACAACAAAAAACTGATAAAAAATGAAATAACGACAAATATCAACACAAACGTCCTAATTTGGTTACTTTTACTTGGTTTTTAAGGTAGTCAGTTGTTATTTGTTGTTATCAGTTGTTATTTGTTGTTATCTCGACAAAGATAAATACTGGTGGGGTATATTGTGAGACAGGCTATCAGCTTATATTTCACGTCTGAAATATAAGAATTTATTTTACCGGAAGGGCAATGCTAAAACACAACTCCACGTATGGTATAAAAATCTGTCCCCCTTGGAACTCTCCTAATGAAGGGAATGAGGTAGAAATGACTCCATCATGGATAGAGATGTGGATTTCAATATATTGTCTACATAAATAAAACACAAACATTAAAAAATAATAAAACAGAGACAGAAATATGAGGATAAAATTTGAAGTTCAATATAATTAGATTGCGATATTATAAACAACATTTTTTTTAACGACTGCATCCTGTTCTCAGCATTATGCGATTTAAGGCCCAGAAGGTTGGTGTGTGGGAACTAGGTGAAAAATCAGGTGCTTGTCAGAATAATGAAATTGAAGAAAACAACATTTTTCCTCCGGATGAACAGTTTTAATTGATTTTATTACTTTTTGGCTCAACACATTTTATGTCTTTTAAAAAATACATGTGTGAATTTTACCCAAAAAATGTTTATCAGAGGCGCAATAAGTGTAAATTTTGCATTTTCCCAGGACTCTCACTCTCAAGCTTTGGAAGTCACGAAACTTTGGCGGCCATTTTTTGCTAATTTTACCTCTGACACTAGTAAACCCCCACCCCCTTAAGATTTATGGGTACTTTTTTTCAACAAAGCAAGACAAAAAAATAAGCTTTAAGATTATATCAATAATTCCTAAGCCCATTGATGAGCGGCTGGTTTCCACCATATCGTGACACTTATCAACTTCAAAATCAATGTTGTACTTATCAGTGAGATGATTCTCAAGCTGAATACACTGCAGCAAATTTACCAGGCATAAACCACGTGAAGTCTCCCGTCAGCAAGCAAATTTAATTTCACATACGCTCAATTTGGGACTTGCAGGCAGAGTCGCTTGGATTTGGAGCACTTATTTGAAGCATTAACATAATTGCCTGCTCATGTAGCCTATTTCACGGTAGTCTGTGTAGCTGGGAATTTTATGGAAGACCCTGCATATTTTTTAAATCATTGAAATTTGAAGTGAATTCTTTTAAGAGCTTGTTTGCTCATGTTTTTCTGAGATTTAAGTACTTGTTTTCTTGCGTTCAAAGACTTTCAATTTTGCTTCTTGTTGTTTTTTTAATGTTCTTAGGTGTCTCAGAGAGTTTACTACCTCTTTTTTCCTTGCATTTGTAGACTGCTGATATCTTAATGTGACCTGCTTTTTAAAAAATTGTCTTCTCAGGTGCTACCGGACATGTATGAAAAGAGGATGGTGGCAGGACTGGCCACGCTTGGAACTTGTGACGAACTGTCTGTGCAAAGCAGAGCTCAGAGCATGCTTGAACTGATTTTGTTTCAGGATCGTGGAGCAGTAAAAGGGCTTGATTTCAGTAGCTTAGTGAGTTTGCTTTGATAATGAGCTAATTTTGACTAAATGCAGTTCACTCTCAGGGAATATGATGGAATACACCTTTTGCAAAAGAATCATTACATTAGTTTCATAATGCTTTTGCTTTCACTCACACTTCCAACAACAGTTGTTTAGTTTGAGTGAAAACAGTGTTACTTATAACGTTTCCTTTCTGTGTCTTTTAGTGGCAGCCAAGTTGCCTTCACAGAACTGTAAACAAGCTGCACAGGTTGTAAAGTGGTAATAAGTGAAAATAGACCTGATTTTTTTCTTAGCTTCTTATTTATTTTTAATGAATGATTCTTTTTGAAATATGTATTATATATTATGGATTTCTTTAATCTAGTGGAGTGCCAGGTCATCGTGGTGGACATGTATGTCTGTTTTGTCTGGTTGGTTCTTTGCCAAAATATTAAGCTTGCCAAGATGGCCGAGACTTAGATCGCTACTGATACTGGCAATATTGTTGCTATTATCCTCTACTGCAGACAGTTACATAAAATTTTTAGACAATTGCCTTCTTCATTTCCTCTCAGGTAAGAGTTGAATCTTCCCTGAGTAGTGCTCTGCAGAAGCTGCGAGCCAGTTTTGCCGTTAGCCATAACAAAGGGACTCAGTTGACCATTCAGCGCCTTTGCACTCTCTACTTAATGGTGCACTGTGAGATGATAATGATCAGCCAGGATGGTGGAGAGATGCTCTCTTGCAATACACACTTTAGCACTGTGATGTAAGTGTTTGTGTGAGACTAAAAGTCATATTTGCTGTCTTTTACATTCACACTCTTATAGCTCCCTTTTTACTTTAAAAATTGTCTCTGTATGTGTTAATTGATCTTTGAATTTTGCCCATTTTTAATGAACTAATGTCTTTTTTATTACAAACTGAATTTTCTTACTTCCCATGTTTGAGTGTGTTTACTTTGAATGTTTTCTACTTACAGCAGATAATACATAAGAAATTCAGGGGAAGAGTTTCTCTTACTACCCTTCCTTAATATTTAGAATTCCTAGTTAACTCTGGTCCTGCAGGAGCTGGGGTTTATGTTCCCTGATAAGCGTATTTTGGCACTTCGCCTTCGTTCCGGTCCTGGGTCAGTCCGGCGCAAATAAGTGCGCCGATCATCATCCGTTTGATGACTGGGTCCCGTATTCCCGCAGCTCAAGTGTGTGTTTGTCAGTCTGCTTAAGTGGCCTACGCCTGCATTGGTTCGAAACCGAGGAATACGTCTCATTCAAAACACGCCAAGTTGGTAGCTCTACATGTTCGTCCAATGAAATTAGAACAAATTGACCTACTTAGACATGAGGAGCTCGAAAGGATAGTCAGTAAACAAGATTTTCAATCTTTCAAATGAGCTTGATTTTATATGAAATGATATTAACTGATAAAAATAATATTACTTGATAGTTCTGAATATCATTGAGCAGGTAAAAAGAACATCTTGAGAGCAAAACATTTGTGAACGTGCCTGGTGAAAGGGACCAGAAGACGCATTTGTTCGAACCGAGATATCGGGTTTCAAAGGTCAAAAATGGATTTTTGACAAAAACTAAGTTCCAATAAATATATGGATTCTTTAGCCGTTAATATATCGATATTTACAAAGACTTGAGTTTCTTTTACTGTAAAATACATTTTTAAAGATGTTTTTTATCATGAGGTATATTGCATAATCCCCAAAAATGCGTGAGAAAATTGGTTTTCCCGAGTACACACTGCGGATGGTTTCTCTTGTCCATTCATAAAGTCAACACAATCACATTGCACACCAAAATTTAGGTAATTCTCTCCCCTCTCTAGTGGTGGGTAGTGCGCATGAATATCTAGAACATGTAAACAAAGCGAAGCTTTGCACATCCACACCTGTTCGTTTTTTTGGAGAGCAAACTTGTTTCGCATTTTTCTTTTATCTTAACTTCTTTTTAAAGTTGGTTTGTGAGTAGCGAATGTGTTGTCAGGTCATCTCAAAGCGTAGACTATCTGTTTGAAGCAGAAACAAAGGACAAACTTTTAACTCTTTATCTCCGAGGGGGTAAACCCACTACGCCGGGGCCCTTTTTTGGTCCTAAATCTAAAAATGACAAAAACGTCATTAAATGGGTCATTAAATCGAAACTAGCAAACCTATTTTGATAGTTGTTCATCTAACGAATGAGCTTCCGGTATAAGAGACAGAAATTTGATGTCGAAGTCGTCATAAAGGGATGTGCCCGAGCCGCTATCAGCGGCTCCAAGGCACAGTGGTTCCGACCGTGAGCCGCTGGAGCGGCTTGCCGGAGATAAAGAGTTATTTTCTCAAAACTTTGTTCTGTATCCTGCCTTACAAAATCACTCATATCTCAAAAACTGCTGAAGATATCTTTAAAATTCACAAAGAATATTGTTCATAAGTGATCTCTGTACTTGAAAATGCAAAAAAACCGGGATTCTTCAAAATGCGTCTTCTGGTCCCTTTCACCAGGCACGCTCACATTTGAAAATTGACCCATATTATCCCTTTTCGAACCCCAGATCATTTGTAACAACAAAAGCGTCTAAAAAGGTTATTTGAATGGGCGTAAATACTCGTAATGTCTTATCAGCTTATGAGAGGGGGTTATTCATGCGTTTGTAACACTTTATAAATAGAAAGCTATAAAAGATAGAGTGTTATTTTTATCATCGATTAAAATACCCCAGGGTATTCTTGGAGAAAACACATGTTTCCAGTGCTCACTGTACACTAGCAGTACAAGCTGAGTGACCCCGGCGGCCCGCCCGGAACGTCCGACGTAATAGGTTAGCCTACTGATAAGATTCGCATCTTGGCACAGACGCAGGACAAGAGTTATTCTTTGTGGGAGTCTTCTACTTTGAGAACTGAAGATGACACACTCATGTAAGATTAATCTTTCATTGTGCAAGTCTGATACTTGTTTCTGCTTATTTGACTCGAATGAATGTTTTTTTTTGTTTATGTTAATGTGCGTCACCATGACTGAATGAAATATACTTTCATCTAATCAGCTATGATGTATTTCTGTATTTGACAGAATACAGAGAAGCAGAACTCTTCTGTAAAGTAAACCAGCAGAATCACCAACTAAACTTTTCTCAACCAAGCATTCTTTTCGTTTTCTGATTCTAGAGGCCGCCCATTTGTGTCCACAAGAAATCGAAACCGAGCAGATGAAAGTCTGGAAGTTCTGGACTTCTTTATAACAGAAACAAATAAGAAGTCATGTAATGGTGTCCGGGCCAGGGTTGCTGAGTTCATCAAGTTGGATAATCCTTATCAGCTGGCAAAAGAATTGACAAGAGCAAGTTTGTCTACCCAAACTATTGTCACATTTGAGTTACTGAAAAAGGTGAGTTTCAAATGTTTCGAGTGTATTTTTGCATTCTTTCTATTTGAAATAAAAAACTAATCTTAAAAGAGAACCCACAAAAATCTAATGGGCTGGTTTTGATGTTGCAATTATGCACACGTTGAGGCTAACGAAACACAGTGATAGTGTCAACTCTTGGTGGGTGCCTCATTCTTCCTGGTGACCAGTAAAAAAGTTTATCCAAAAGAAAGTCAATGAAAACGTCATGAATAAAGGTGTAAACACCATAGTTTGCAGAAACGTGGAACGTCCATCCGGATTGCTTATTTTTCAAAAGTAATAATATACAGTCAAACACGAGTAACTCAAATTTGTCGGGGATTGGAAATAGTGTTCAAGATTTTCGTAATTTGTCATGTTCGTAAAAGCCCCAAATACAAAATAATAGAGAAAATCAAGGGAGGTAAAACAAACATTAAAACAATTAACGTGGTTAGTGGTTAGCTACCTTGATTTGGAAAGTTTGAAACAAGTGGGCCGTGTCAGTGCTGTTGCAAGGAAAATCTCACGTGTACACAGCTGACTCCTATGTCATTCCTTTCCTCTCATTTCATTGACTTACAGAAAGTTATGCCTCTTGCCGTCCGCACCGCCTGCGTCCAACAGCATGATTGCATGCATGGCGAGCCAGTCATGCGGTGCGGTCAGCATCACTAACCAACCACCCTTCCCCGTTCCTTTTCCTCGAGCCTCTCGTGGTGAGAAATGACCACAATTTGGCTGTAACAGTAACAAAGAAGTACCTACCTCTGGCCACAAAGGCTGTAAAGCTGGGTCCTTAATTGAGAATGGAAGTGGATTTGTTCGACATTCGAGTGTTGTGTGTTCGGGAACTCCATGAAGTCAATACAAAGAAAACATAGGGACTGAAACGGGACCAAGCATTATGTTAAAGATACCCAAGAATTTTTGAATTTCGTGTTCGAGATTCGTTGACGTTACCGTATGACTTATTTTGGTGGGTAATTTTTTTACAGCTCTCGCAACTGCATGAGGTCATTTGAGTGCACGGAACGCTTTAAACATTTTCAGTTAGTAGGAAATTTTGAATTTTGCCCAGGTGGCGGTCGAGCCTACTCTTATCGATTTTGGACCACCAAGGGATCTTCAACGTGCGCAACTTGGATATGGGACCTCCGAGATTTTTTGCCTTTATCCGAGAAGGCTAGGTGTAGATCTTACCTACCAAAAAATCAGGGGTGTGGCTGAAATATAGCAGTGTCTGTGTGTGTGAGCGTGTGTGCATGTGTATTTGTATGTGTGTGTATTTGTATGTGTGTGTAAAAGAGAGGGTGTGTGAGTGCGTGTGTGTGTATGTGTTTGTGTGTTTGTTTTTCTTTTTTCTTTTCAACTTCTTTTTTTTTTGTCACAGACTTACTCTGTCGAAATTAACGCTGCATTAGTTGTCACAGCGTCACTCTGTCGCAATTAACGCTACCATACATTAAATATCATGATAATCAATTCAAAAGACTTTTTACAACAGCAGGTTAATGTAACATGAAGTCTGTCTTATGTACCTCATATAGAGAGGGGTTACCATTTTGATGTCAGTTCGAAAAAGAGCATATGTGAAGGGTGCTAACAAAATGAGTTACTTCTCGGATCCAAGCCTTATGGAAATAGATACATCACGCTACTAGGTGAAGTTTTTACTATTTATAAGTATGGAATAATAAAAGGCACGTTATACAAAAAGAATGTGGCATCAATAGAAAATCTACTAATCGGACCCTATAGCGTCGACTTTTGGCCAATATTTCCGTTTGTGGATTGCGAGAAGTAACTCATTTTGTCAGCACGCTTCACATATAGTAATATTAGAAACTTGGAAGTGAAATTGAAATACAAGCTTTGCACCGACAAGCTCATGACATCGTGACAAAATTTGGACACACCACAACAAAATGGTTTTTTTGTAAAAGCACAAAAGACTTGTGGTTATTTCATAAATCAGATTATTTAAATAACTTAGTCCTTACAAAACAGAAGAACAGTATTTTTTTCTTTTAAAGGTTCAGCTGTTTGACTTCCATAGTCAAACCGATATGTGTGGCGTTGTGGTGAAATTAGGTGCTCGTCGAAATAATGAAATTGAAGAAAATGGTAATTTTTCTGCCGGTAAGCCTATGGCAATTTTTATCAAATTTTTGTTTTTTGACTCAACACCTTTTATTTCCATTTAAAAACACATTACTGTGTGTGTTTTTCTGAAAATCGCGTGATTTAGGGTGGGAGGGGGGGGGGGGGGGGGCGGTACGCCAAAAGTCCTGATTTGGCTCAAAACTATGTAGGCATTTTTAGTTTCTTCAGCCTCTCTTATGACTATTTCATCGCATAAGAAACCCATAAATCCTTATTTCTTCCCATACCGGGCATGTTTTGTCACTCCCAGTTCCTGTTTAAGTCAATATTTTATTTTTCTTTATTTCTCGTTGTCTCGAAACATGGTTTTTCTATATATTCTTTTAAATAACTCCACCATAATTTTTCATCCAATCTTCATGAAATTTTCGATTTTCGCAGAATGAAGAAAAGACGTAATACTAAAAATTTATATCATGAATTTTTGATGTATGTAATAGTTTTTTGTTGGTGGTGTTTGGACTGTGGATTTTCACAGATTTTTTGCAAACATGACTACCTCAGAAAAAAGTTCATTAACTCATTCGCTACGTATTATTTTCGGCTTGTGGACGATTTTTTTTTGGAAGGGCGAATGAGATGATGACTAGTGGGCAGTTAAAAAGTCTTTGGGGCCACAAATTCAAATAAATATCAATGTATTATATACCAATATTTTCAGCATGGTTTGTAGAATAGATCTGTAATGTTTATTTATGTATTTTTCAATTTTGGTTCCTGTAAGAGACGATTATGCAACACAATTTTGATTGGGTGCGAATAAAATTTGAAAATAAAAAATTAATAATCTTTGGTGAAACTCAAAAAATATGTTTGCACCTAGTCAAATGAAACATCAGAATAACCATAAATGAATATAGAACTGGAAAATGTTGAAAAGTTTGCTGTTATTTACCTTCATTCCATAATATTTGTACATTTTGAACATAACATCCGATAATGAAAAAAAAAAAAATTTATAATCTTGAAAAACGATCACAAACAGAAAAAGCCACTCGTATCTTATGTGGAATTATTTAGAATTGCATTTGGAATAAACCTATACATGTCTTAAGTGGCACTTTTTGTGTAATTTCATAAAAAAGTTGTGATTTTGGGGAGAAAAAAATATTTTGACAATTTAGATCTAGACCTAGATCTAGCACTCAAAAATATTGATTTCTCAATAACAGTGCATTGGCAATATGAGTCCAATCGTATCAATATTATAAAAAAGAATCCTACATTTCTTTAGTGGGCAAAATAATAGATTTTGTTGTGTAAAATTACTAAGACTGGTGTCCGGGCTATAATTTTGGCGTCGTGATCAAACAAAGTTGAATAAACTACGAAATCGCGTTTCAAAACTGAATCTAAATTTCTGATTTTCAGTGGAAATGCTTGACCCGGAAGTCAACATTAAATTATGACTTTTATTTTAACATGGATACGTGGATTGGAATAGAATCTAAGCTAAAATTGAAGATCGGTTCTCGAGCCGCCGGGGGCGGCTTAGTGTACGGCTCGGCGTAGCGAATGAGTTAAAAATGTTCCAGTACGTTTAGGAAAAATTCATCACACAGATTTGTAGATCTATTGTTTGCCAAAATGCATGCAAAAAAACCAATTTAGTTCCGTAAAAAATAAGTGCAGTATTAATTACGTAAGACTTGTCTACTCAATCCAATATGGCCGTCGCATCGTCCACGGAAACAATTTTTTTTTCTCAAATTTGATTGCGGATTTTAAGACTTCTTACTATGCTTGTTATATGTGTGAGTTTAGAAACATTTGATCCCTTAATAAGCGAGGTAGCCTTCAGCTTCCCACCCCGCCCCCTTAAAAAAAAAGGGTAGGCCTTCTTTTTCAGGCGCTCATCAATTCTTGGGCATGTGGAGTTATTGGTGTCATCTTAAACTTGTTCATTTGTCCTTCTTTTGATGAAAAAATACCCACTTGTCTTGAATAGAAATTGAGATATTTGAGATTGAAAGAGATGGGGGGGGGGGGGGGGGGGAGGGGTGTGACTGTGTTTCAAAGTTAAAATTTGCGAGAAAATAGCCACCAAAGTTTGGTAACTTCCATTGCTCTAAAGTCCTTGGAAACTGAAAAATTAATTTTTTCTGCCTCTAAATTAATCAGTGTTTTACGGTGAAATGGAAACTGGAAGGTGTGGAGCCACAAAAAAAAATTGATAAAAATTGCCAAACTGACAGGAAAATTCAAATTTCTTCGATTTCATTATTTTGACGAGCATCTTATATTACATCATGTTGCCTCACATATCTGTTTGATATTATGGTTCTCTTTCATGATGTTTTGATATCAGTAACATAGACAAGTGATGGTGAAAATTTAAATGCTTTTCCTATTATTTGCATTTATAAAAATCTTATGATTATGCTGTTTCTTCAGGTTTTTCTGAAGTTAGACCTCAATGCCCTCTCTTTCCTGGAGGAATATGTCAAGCCTACTTCATCAACACTATTTCGCAAAGCCAAGGAAGTTCCCATGACGTGCATAGTAATTTTGCTGAGAGGCTTGACCCATTTGTTTTCCCATGGTTTAAGTGAGTAACGTTGCAAATTTGGAAAAGTTTATATTAATTGACCTGTGCTGCTCATGTTCTACACTGTAATAGTGAATTGGTAAAGCACTCTTCTTTGCCCTTCAAACTTCCACAACACGCCTGTGGCCTTGTTGTTGACTTTCGTGATATTTTGTGTTTTTTTGTGATTGCTGAACTTAATTTGGTTCCTCTTTGGCTTGGTGAAGGAAATGCTCTTAGCACTTTACTTAATGCAATAAGTTTATATTTATTTTTGGTGAATGTTGTGTCATGTTTTGCTCAGTTTTTTTTTTCATTTTCCCATTGAATATTACCTGCTCAAATGCTCAGAGTCGCAAAATGCCCTGCCCAGTTTTTCTCTTAATTGCTCAGAATGGCACGCTGTGTCAATGAAGTGGTGGTTGCAATATGATGTGAATATGTGTTTCCCTCTTTAAGAGTTAATTTATAGCCTCCCCAACTTTTGCTACTCCTTTGTCAAAGATGTAGACCTATGTATTTGCATTATATCACGTCTATGGTGTCAATGATGCAGTGTGAGGCTAGTTTCACAAGTGAATAATATAACTAAGAAATATAAGGCATATTGTTCAGATAAATGTGTACTTTAACATATATTTTTGTTGTTTTTCACTGTAAATTTGCATAGCTTTGTTTACAGTGGTAGATTAGGCTATTGGATGAAATTTGTAATGTGTGTGTATTCCTAAAAAAGGTACCAAAAGTCAGATTTTAACCATTTTGAGTTAAGGGTTGTACCTAATCGGACATTCAAAGCTGAACACAGTAATTTTTGAATATTTAGATATCTCAAGTAGTTTTTGAGATATTGTACATTTTGCGAGGTAGGGTATTGTGATATGATTGCCTACAATACGAAACTAAATTAAGAGTAACTAACGACTCTCATACTATTCTGCTGTCTTAGGTAAAGAGGACGATTATCGGAAATTGGGTCAAATAGAGATATCGATACCATGTGAAAGAGTATGAAAAGCTGCATCTGTTGAACCAGTGGCCATTACATTTAGAGATGTTCGAATACTTTATTTTGGTATTGGAAGTATCGTCATAAATTTTTTCTTTTTAATTTATTTTATATTTTATGAAAGAAAGACGAATCTCTGGTCCTACTGTGAAAAAAGGACGAATACCGAGAGGTTCGTCCTCAGTTTATGAAAAAGCGACGAATATAACGATATTCGTCCTTCTTCGCCAAAACATGCCTACGTTACAATGCCAAGGTCTTATGATGAAATACCAAAGGCTCAAATCCTGGTATATCCAGCTTTGATCCTCGCTGTATCAAGTGTGTTGCACACAGTAAGACAACAAGCACCACTGCTTGTGTACATTCACCAGCATTTGAACCCCGGATCTTTGGCTCCACTGGCAAAGCGCAATTAAATAACAGTCAAAACACTTACATAAAATCAGACGAACCTCAAATATCATAGAAACGAAAAATCCAGGACGTTATTATTTGACACCGTCGGGTGAAAGAAAGACGAATATTGCTATTCGTCCTTTTCCCATGAAAAGCTAATTTAAACTTCATCAATCTGTTATGAAAGAATGACTCTTGTCTTCTCACACAAAATTTTGTTGATATTTCCTTACAAAATTTTAACTGAAAGTGCATTTGCACCATCCTTCCTCCTGCAAAAAATCAAGTTAAAAATGAAATAAAAAGACAACTTTTTAAACGTGAGACAAATAAATTTGATTTTTTGGCCCTCCTGGAAAATGGGTATGTCGCGATATTCGTCCTTTTTCCCCAAGATGGCAATATTCATACGCATACTTTGTATCGCCCTAGGTTACTTAGGCTTCTTAAATAAACAATGCTACCTGCTCAATAAACGCTCGTCTTTCACTGTTTACAATCTAGACCTATATCATATCATTACATGGTGGCAGCGGTAAAAATAAACAGCAGATCGACTCCCCGTGAGTGTGCCTCTAGCAAGAATTAGAAGCCTACAGTCGGATTTTTTGGGCCAAATAAACTGTTAAATTGTTAGTTTGTAGCATCACCCGCTCGAGCAAGTAGTTAGATCTAGATGTCAATAACCGTCAATATGTCCTCAAAGGAGATTCGCAAGATGATGTGGGAAAGCGAAAACATGGCAGGTTCCTTCAAAATTTTCAAACAAAGACTCGAACTCTACTTTGCCACAAAGAAGGTACATAAGGACGACCAGGTTGCCCACATATACTCATCTAAATTGGCAAGAAAGGCCTTCGGATGTTTAATGTCATGACACTCACAAATGCAGAAAAGAAAGATCCAGCTATTGTATTCCAAAAAATGGGCGAACAAATCGAGCCGGCTGAACACTTTTGTGTGAGTAGACTTAAACTCATGAGCATGAGGCAGGTCAAATCAGAGTCACTAGACGATTTTGTGACAAGGGTGCAGCTTCAGGTATAGAAGTGTGCATTTGACAGTGTGGTGGAACTGGAAGAATAACAACAACAACAATGCGGCTGTCTTCGGTTGGGACCTCAGAAAGGAATGTTTTGTTTTCTTCATCTTGATCAGTCCTGCCTAAGAAGGCCACCTGTCTTATACGCCCATTTTTCTCCTTGACAATAGGTGGCCGTCTTACACAGGTTCGATTGCACTTTTGTTGAACAGAGGAAGCAGTTAAACAACCTATGAGCCTAAAAAGTTGATGTATTCTCATGTTCATTGTCTTTTCGAGGGTTCTAAGTCATGAATCATGGGACATTTGCACTGTTAGGGGGAAACTATGGCAAATGTTGTTTTTGTTTAATCTGCTTTGTCCACACGTCATTTATCATAAATGTTTTACCCTTCAGTTTTTATAGGGTAGATCATAGACTCCCTGCACATTTTCAATGAAATGAAATTCTAATGAAAAGCTAAATTTTTGTATTCATACTTGATATTTACTATAAATCATCTGTTCTTATCTTCTTTCCTTCCTTCTCACATTCTTTATCATAGTATCCGTGAAAAGTTTAATGAATGGTGTTGATTGTACCTTTATTCAGAGCAAGCAGCAAACCAGGATATCAAGCTGTTATGCCTGAAAGCTATGAGTGTCATGAACATGGCTTCTCGGAGAGACCTTCCAAATGAGGTGAGCTGAAAATTAACTCATTCTCTGCCCATTACTGATATATTGGCACCGCGACTGCACCATTTGTGTTCTTTACCGATACATCGCCACAGGCTATACTCAAACTCTGGTTCATAAGTGCTTGATCCATAATTTTAAGTTTTGATATAAAAGAATCTCAAAAGTAGAAACTTCCTGCAACGAAATATGGTGTCTATGACTACGTAAGTGGGTGGAAAGTTGAAATTATAAAGGTATTTTGTGTGGTCTGTTGTGAAACCAAAACATTAAAGATGACCACACGCAACTTCTAGTTCTAGCTATCTAGTAGCAAAATTACCCCATAGGCCTATAACTTGTAAAACAGACCAGGGAATTTTTCTTTAGTAAACTTGAGGACAAAGATGATAATTTCCTAGAATCCTTAGCTTTATTATATTCTGATTGGGGTGATGATTGAATCGAGAGTGAGAAGCGTAATAAGAAAAACATAATTCGTAGATCTAAATCTACAGTGACAGCAAAGAGGGTAGTTGAAGACAAGAGAGTGAGTGGATATGCTGGGAAATGTAAAGGAAAGACAGCCAAGAGAAGTGAAATCAAGAGAATAATGATATAGATCTCGGTCTAAATCTAAATCTTGACTTGGACATGCAAGTGCAACACGGGCATATTCTGATTCATTACAACTTTTGGTATAGTCACAGTGATGTTACAAAATGGATAATAAAATCTGCTAGATTTGCACAATTACACCTTTTTTCTTGAACATGCAGGGAATTGAATGTAACATTCATTTTATGAGCTTGGAAATGTTTTTAAAAAAAAATAAAGATTTCATTATTTATATCAAAGTAGGAAATTTCGTCTGTCTTTTTATTAGCTCCCCTGTGAGGGAAGCGTTCTTTTACAAGTAGATCTATCAATTACGTCCTTTGCTTAATCAAATATTTTTTTACACATTTCAATGCTACGTTTTATTACTTTTGAAAATATGAATGACACTCTATATACTTACCCTATTATTTCATTTTACTTTTGGACACGGATTTTTTTCGCTCTCTCCTGCCCACCCAGCAGTAATGGGTACCTGACTTCGAGTTGGGGAAGTAAAAGCGGCGTGGAAAGGAACTGGCCACCCTACCACAATATGCCGATGGCCATGGAAGTTGTCTCACTAACAAGGCAATCCCCAATATATGTCCGGATCGGATGCAGAAACAACTTTACTTTACTTATGAAAATCCTTCTCAAGCTCAGGGCTGAGAATTGTCTGCCTAAAGGCAGAATTCCGCTCATTGCAACACCGCCATCCGCTCATCCAAACGCCTCTTCCGACTTTTTTCCAAGTTTCGTATTATAATAATATTGTAGTAAGAATAAAAAAACGAATTGAATAAAAGACGATAACAGTTTTAGATGTTTTTTAAATGCTCGCTGGACGAATCTGAGGTGCGTGCGCATCTGTGTGTCGGCCGAAACCATTTAATCGAGTACTTTTTATTCTTCATTACTGGTAGAATCGGACTCAGTTGTACATTCGAGTACTGGTAGTTACGTGGAGAACTGTGGTGACTTTGGCTCACGCATATCACAACCCTAGCCTTTTTTTTTTGGTCTTTGTCTGCTTGTTCTTCATCATGATGGGTAGCAGGCTAAAAATATTTAGCAAGAAAAGAGAATTAAGACGCGTTAAAATTCTTCCCTTTCTTAGTCTTAAGGACTTGTGTGTGTTGTAGGGTTTTATTTATAAAGAAGAGGTATACATGTTTTCATGTATACTGCATCAGGGCTCATATATTCTTGAAAATGTTGACGTGGTAATTCAAATAACTAAATAATTGAAAATAACATTTTGCTCCCCAAAATCATTAAAACACTGAAAATGGCCATTCAAGGATGTGTAAACCTTGTGCTTATTTTTTTTCCATCTCAATGTACAATGTATAGTAATTTTCTTTTTGACAGTATTTGGGTCGTTGTTATTATTTTTCTCTAAAATTAGGGTTACAAATAAGACCTCAAACCCTTCCAAAATAACCAGATTTGGCTATTTTATGCCTCATTTTTTTCAAAATTTTGCGGGGGGAGGGCATGCCACCAGACCCACCTAGTTTTCAGCTTTTTTTGTGGTATGCCATTCTCAGCCCTGAAACATGCACACCTATCATTCTTGATCGGATGCACTGAGAAAACCCGGTGAAAGCTGGTATAAAAATGGGCAGAGAAGAATGAGTTAAAACAGTTTTTCAAATGGTATTTCCCTAGTGAGGCTGGATGGGGCACGGTGGAAAGGTGGTAGAAATTTGGGAAGGGGGGGGGGGGGGGGTAAGGGAAATAGTTTTCTGCTCAAATAGGTCTCTATTGCCAAATGTCCTTCTGTGGACGAGCTCTTTAATTTTTGGGTTTAGGTCATATCCTTGTGAGATTCTTGCTTGCTATCCTCTTGGCTTTTGGCAGGTTTTACAGAATGAAGCATGCATTTTATTAATTTTAAAATATAAATAAAACAGTGGACATATCTCCCTCGTGACACAAATATGTGTCCAGGCAAAGTAAGCTTTGGTGCATTGTACATTTATGCACAGACTCATCTAGAAAGGAGAGAAGACTGAATATAATGTGTGGAAGAGGGGTGGGGGTGTATTTCTAAAGGGAACTTTTTGAAGATTATTTATTTCATTCCTGAAATTTGAATTATGAAATGCATCCTTACAGCTTGCTTAATTGTTCTTTCTGATAAAGGTGGGCCGAATGATGCAGACTTTGCTGTTTGACCCAAAACCAGCCGTTAGAAAAGGCATCATCAAATTCTACAGTGAACGAAACAACTATGCTGAAGTCCAACCCATATTTCTGCAGAATGAAGTTGAAAGAATACTTTGTCCGCTCCTGCAGTTTACTCCTGACAGAAAGGTCAGAACTGTATATTGTTGTCTTAAAACAGCTTTAAAATAGAGCTTTGTTTTTATTTGCAGAAGGAAACTGAGGACGAAATCAGTACTGTTTTTTTTTCTGTTATGTGAACTTATAAACAATGAACTGGACTTTTAATTTCTTTAAAATTTGGAAGTGCTATTCAGAGTTAAAGGTGCCTTTTTATTTTCTTCTTCTCTATCTCCTATTGTGTCTTCATGTAATGTGCTCAGTTGGTTCAGGCGAAACTCAGCCCTTGTCATTAAGGGGAAGGTTCAGGTGCAATGGTTGAGAATGTTGACCCTGTCTGCTGTTCATTTTTAAAAATCTTATAAAAACCGTGTAAAAAAATTACAAAAGGCACCATGGATTAAGGGATGGGGTCAGATAAAGGTAAGACTGGTGCTCCTATCATCTGGAAATTGGTGTAATTTAAAAACAAAAAGTTAATCCAATACCAATCTTGTCAGTGCTGCTGTTCACCCATGATCGACTGGTACCTTTGTCATGTGAGTTGTGATCTAGGTATCGCCAAAGTTTTTTCCCCTTATTTCAAAAGACTAGGCTCTCTGTCTCATCTACCTTGGTCTCAGAGATGTGGACAAAAATAGATAAAAATATATTGTATTTATTGAAAATCACTGTATGAATAAGGAATAGTAATACTCAAGTATAGATTGTAAAGCATATATAGCTTGCTGTTGAGCGGGAATTTATGCTGTACAAATGCTATCTATTATTATTATTATTAATTATTATTATTATTATTATTATTATTATTATTATTATTATTATTATGGGGGTACTTCGGCATGACAGATAGTCATCTTACCTCTAAGCTAAATGGCTAAACTGATTGCCAGATTATTTTAAAGTGTCTTAATACCTTTCAAGTCTCATTTTAATAAAAGAAAGCTTGCAGTGAAAAGTGATATCAGCTTTATGAATCTGCTTCTAGAGGGATCATATTGCATACTTTACCTTACAGTTCTTTATAGATTGTATCTTCAAGCACTGGCTTCTGTTCAAATCCATGAATGCAATACTACAGTCGACTCTTCTTGCGTTGAAGTCGCTTCAGTTGATCTTCGGTGGAGTTGATCTTTTTCTTGGATCCCAGCATCCTTTTTCTTTACATTATTTAAAGCCAATTAATTATTTTGAGTTCAACTCAAACATAAAATACACTCGAGTTGAAGCACTTTCTTACCCCAGCTGCAAGTATGTATGCATCAATGATTGTATTGATAATTATTATTTATTTATTTTTTGCATGGGTATCATTAGAAGTTTCACTGCAGTTTTGACACTGGTGATACATAAGGCAGAAATACAGTAGAAGCTGATCAATGCACATTAATAGGCCTGCATAGTACACAATGAAACAGTGATTGAAGCTCGAGAGTAGGTTTATGTGACGTCATGAAGCAATAATCATGTCAATTGTTGTTTTCCCTCCCCTCAGAGCAAAAGGGTAATTTGCACAGCAAGATAATTAGTAATACAGTAAAACTTGGCATAATATACGCGGTTGAAAATGGACTCTTGGCAATTGTAACTCAGTGTAACATTCACTTTCTGAAGTTAAGAGTCGAAGTCAGAATATTTACTCTTTAAAACGTATGCTTAAAACGTACTTGTGTAAAATGGTCTTTTTACTAATAACATTCACTTTGGAAGGGATTTTAGTGGTTGAAAGTTGAACTTCAGATGAGCTGATTTTCTTTCACTCCCCTGACAACAGGTCAAATGTAAAATTAATTACTTCTGCCAATGAGTATTAACTGGAAGATAATATTTCTGCATTTCCATAAATTGATTCACCAACTTGTTGTCTGGTAGGATGTATGACTTACAAAATCTATTCACACAAAATTTCTCACTCTGTGACCCCATTCCCATAGATCTGTAAACATAGATCAGCAGGGTTAATGAGTCCTCATTCCCTTTGCTTCTTGGTCACTAGTGGAAGTTTTGTGAGTGAATATTGAGGTTTATGATTATTTTAGCCTTAAGATGTCAAAATGTATTTTTACCCACCAGTCTCTAATATTTTTGATGTTTGCTTCCTTTCAGCTTCCATCTGAGAAACTGACAGGTCAATGGACACTGTTTTCTGGAAATTTTGGCACCACAGAGGTATTGGTCCTCATTCACAAACCTACGCAAGTTGTTCACATGAATGATAACCACACTAGATTTCGCTCCCAAGTAGATTTCCATCACAATCAGATGAGGAGACTCAAGCATCTGCAGCACAAAAATATTGTCAAGATGTTCTCATACCAAGAGCATTGCATTCCGCAGTTTTATGTTGTTGAGGACTACTTGACAACCAATTTTCAGGTTTGTTTTGTTTATTTTATATTTTGTGCCAATTTTTTCTAATACTCAGAGACTTATCAGTAGATTCTGAGCACATGAAGTCTTCTTCTCCTCCTCCTCCCCCCTCCTCCCCCTCCTCCTCCTCCTCCTCCTCCTCCTCCTCCTGGATCTCAGGAGGTAGTGGACTGTTTGTTCTTCAACCTGCAGTGCACCAAGTTTTTCCACATGTCACGGTTTTCATACTTCATAGGGCCCCTTGCTTTCAGGTAGCCACATTTTGATTTCAAAGATATACTGTTTTTTAAAATGCTAACTAAAGCATTTTCAGTTTTTGGAGGATTTCATTTTGAATTCAGCCCACTTGGCATCCAAAACCTACTTTTTAAAATTTTGGAACCACCAAGGATCTTTAACTCATTCAACTTTGGTTCCTGTAAGAGGCGAGTATGCAACACAATTGTGATTGGTTGCGGATAAAATTTGAAAACAAAAAATTTATAATCTCAGATGAAACTCAAAAAATATGTTTGCACCTAGTCAAATTATACATCAAAATAACCATAACTGTATATAGAACAAGAGAATATTGAAAAATGAGCAGTTAGTTACATACATTCCATAATATTTGTACATTTGGATCGTAACCTCCGATATTGAAAAAAAAAAATTTTTTAAAATAATTTTGAAAAAAGGATCCCAAACAGAAAAAAAACACTCGTATCTTATATGGAATTATTCAGAATTGCATTTGGAATAAACCTATACATGTCTTGGGTGGTACTTTTTGAAGAAATTCACCAAAAAGTAGTGATTTTGGGGAGAAAAAAAATATTTTGACTATTTAGATCTAGGCCTAGATCTAGCACTCAAAAATATTGATTTCTCAATTACAGTGCACTGGCAATTTGAGTCCAGTAGTATCAATATTATGAGAAGAGTCCTACACTTCTTTAGTGAGCAAAATAATGATACATTTTGTTGTGTAAAAGTACATAGACTGGTGTCTGGCTATAATTTGGGCTTCGTGATAAAACAATGTCGCATAAACTTTGAAATCCTGTTTCAAAACTGAATCAAAACTTCCGATTTTCGGTGGAAACACTTGAACCGGAAGTCAACTTTATATTATGACTTTTATTTTAACATGGATATGTGGATTGGAATAGAAACCAAGCTAAAATTGAACGTCAGTTCTCGAGCCGCCGGGGGCGGCTTTGCGTACTGACGGCACTCTAGCCGCGCCGCCCCCCACGGCTCAGCGTAGCGAATGAGTTAATGTGGGCAACTTTCATACAGGACCTCCAAGACCTTTTGCTCTTATCAGAGAGGCCTAGGATTTCGATCTTACACACACTAAGATCAGGGATGTGGCTGAAAAACAGCAGTAATTTGGAACTGGGATTAGCTGTAGAAAGAATAAGGGAGGGAGGAGCACACAGGAGGCCAGGGGAGAAAGGTATACAAATTTCAGAGATCGTTTTGACAGGATTATTTATCCGCCCTAAAAATTTACTCTTTCTTTAGATTTTACTGATTTTACTGGCACAAGTATTATTACAAATTCATGTATCAGCCACAATCTCGTCTAATTGATTGCATAAATATTCCTTTTAACTCTTTAAGTGTTCAAAGTTTAGATCAGAGTTTGTTGGGGTTTCTTCCCATGATGAAATTCTGAAATAGGGTGCAACTCAAAAAAGATTGTATTTAGATTAAATATTTCACAGAATAAGTGTATCAGACACATGTCAAGAAATTATTTTCTTTTTTGTTGTTCTTGGGGTAGGGTAGTGTTTTACGATGCTCGCAATAGCATAAAGTCATATGAGTACAGAGGACACCTTAAGCATTTTCAGTTTGGTAGATAAGTCAATTGTTAATTTTGCCCACGTGGTGGCCAAAGCCTATTCTTATTGATTTCAGGACTACCAAGGGATCTTTAATGTGGGCAACTTGCACACGGCACCTTGGATATTTTTTTGCTCTCATACGAGAAGACAAGGTGTTAGATCTTACATAGAAAATGAATTAATTTTTATGAAATGTGTGTATTTTGGGAAGATTTCACATCTGTGTCGATGTTATAAATCGTAAACGAGCCAGGGATTTTTTCTTCATTAAAAAAAAAGGGGAGGCATTGTGGTCAAAATAATGAAATGGAAGCACTAGCATTTCGCCCGTTTAGCAGTTTTTATCAAATTTTTGTTTTTCAACTCAACACCTTTAAGGTTCAATTTAAAGCACTTTCTGTTTGGATTTTACTGAAAAAGGTTAATTTAAGGCAACAGAAATGTAAATTTGCAGTTTCCAAGGACTCTCAAGCTTTAGAAGTCACCAAACTTTGGCGGCCATTTCCTCAATAATTTTACCTCTGAAACCAGGAGATCCCCCACCTCCTTCAATAACAAATATCTAGACTTCTATTCATGAAAGATGGGTATTTTTTCACCAAAAGCAAGATAAATGAACAAGCTTTAATATGATGCCAAAAAATCCTCATGCTCAAAAAACCTGATTCCACTGCGCTGTGACACAAATAATAAAATATCACGATCAATTTCTTCTAAAAACAACAGTTTTCAAATTTACAAATTCTATCTAAGGGCACTATCTACAACCAAAAAGAAATAGCCTTTGTAAATTTAAGAGGAAAAGTCGAAAGAGCTAAATACTGGTACCCATTTATCTGAACAGTATATATTATGCCTCTTATTTTTTAAAGTTAATCCTGCATGAAATGAGACTCACACTGCATCATTAACATCATGGATGCAATATAATGTGAATGAGTAGTTCTAGATCCTTGATAAAGATAAAGCAGATGTTGGAGAAGCGAGAGATTAACTCTTCATGAAGAAGAACTATGTATTCATTTTATATTGCATTTATGAATTCAATGATGCAGTGTGTAGCTCTGGGCACATCAGAGATAAACTGTGTGATGCAGTGTGTGGATCTGAGCATTTAAGAATGAAAGAATCCCTATATGTGTCTTTATCCTATACTAAAGTCAAAATTGTTTTATGTCTCTTCGAGAAATTGGAAGACTGCAAAAGACTATTATTTAGTTTTTTTTAAAAATTGCTCAAAGAAAGAATTGATACACAGTGTCAATACTAAAAATTCAGATTTTGATTGGGAAAAATGGAATCTTTTACTAGGATACCCCCAATACTGTCTAAGATATCCCATATTTAAAAATGCACTTATATGGAACAATAAAATTTTTGGAAAGTCAAATGAAATATGTAAATCTAAAAATAGTATGTGGACTATTTTTTCGAGTTTAAAACTGTACACCAAATTTTGTCTTACATCGTTTATTATTTTGTTCCTCAAGACTGCCCTGAAGAATCGCAGTGACAACAGAGCATTCTTTCCAAGAAGTCAACTCTTCAAGTTCTTGATAAATGCCTGTTCAGCTTTAGAATACTGCCATTCCAAAGATTTTGTCCACCGTAATGTGATTGGCTCCAGTTTTTTCATGTTCGGGGAGGAGATCAAGCTGTGTGGCTTCCAGCTCTGTGTCCGAATAGTTGAAGGCCAAGGGAAGGCTGTAGGTGAGTTGTCAGAATTGGAACACTTGACCTGAAGTTTTCAAAACTCCAGAAATAAATCCCAATCAGTCAAAATGTGTGTGTGTGTGGGAGGGGGGAGGGGGGGGGGGCAACCCAAACTTTTCAGAGAGGTGGAATTATTAAGTCATTTTAATGGTTCTTTTGATTATATGTCACTGATTTTTTCAAAGCTGAGTGCATTTCTTTTCATTCTGCATCGTACAATGCATTACGTTCAGAAAATCTGACAACAAATGGGAATAATATCTGTGGTCCCTTGACAGTTGATTTTCTAACAACATGGGTGAAAGTTTTCCGGCATATGCCGGAATTCTGGCTTTTGAAAATAAGCTTTCCAACTTTTCCGGTTTGGGACAAATTGTCGACTTCATACATTTTGGAAGTAGTCATTCTCCCCATCCAGTCTCTAGCTCTTTGCATTTGGTTACGTTGCTGGTCTGTCTCAGCTTGCCCTACTGGCCTGCTCACTTTAGTTGCGTTGTAGTCTATAGTTGTTAGGCTACCGGACCCGTAATTTCAGAAGTCCCCGATGATGGCCTGATAACTGTGTCAATTGCGGCACACAAATGATCAATATTATTCATAGTTCTGCTGTTACTTTCAAAACAAGCGTTCCCCAACTCCAAGTTCTGTTAAGTCGGGCCCGTCATCAAGACCAGTGAGTAAAACTTTCAAACATGCGTTCTCATCAAGTGACATGACTCCGGCGTGCGAGTTTCGCGCGTGTCAGGGACCTGTCCATTGACGGGGTCAACTAAAGTTCATGCACACTGGTTGAAGCGTCTTTCGAGGCTTACGGGGGGGAAAGGAGGGGGGGGGGGGGGTAGACGCTTGGACAAGGAGTCCTTGACGTGATACTTCAGAATTAAAAAAATAATAACAAAATACACACACGGCGCGCGCGCAGAGGGCCTATAGATCTACATGGAATGTAATATATTTATGGACACCCCTGGGAATTTTTTTATTCAGCTGGCCAGTGACCTTGGTGATTTGTCGTTGATCCCTATTTTTGCCCCTGAGATCCTGATTTTTAGATTTCATAGAGTGGCAGATTTGGTTTAGACATGCGAGCGGAGAGTCTGCTTGTGAAGGCACATGTAGCCGGTAGGGCCCTATTGCCGCCACGTGTGTCAGCGCTTTCTCTTCAATAGAGACTAAGCACTATGCAGCAGCTTGCCGATGTTCGGTACAGTTAGGTCTATGTGAAGTTGTTGTAGAAGAGAGTGAACCATAGCGGAGCAAAAAAAAAACGTACAAAGACTTCTCGGTTGAGGACAAAACGGCTGATCCTAGCAGAGGTGGATGAAAAATCAATATATATATATATATATATATATATATTTAAAAAAAACAATCTGCAACATGTTTAAGATTCCGAACAAAAGGAAAAAAAAAAAGACAGCGGAAAATACATTGCACAGTATTGAGAATTATAGTGCTGAAACAGGGACGAAAAGGCATAAACTGATAAAGTAGAGGGCAGTGGAACAAGCAGTGTTTTGTTGGTTTCAAAAGGGGCAGGCTATAGCTATTTCTATGTCAAGCCAAATTATTTCAGTTAGGACTGAGAACTACAGCATTAAAATATAAAAATTAAATCGCCATCAATCCATTACGCGCGCAGGTTTTGCATCAGGGGGCATAATTCATGTAAATTTTGACCCGATTGTCCAACCTGGTTATCTTCCTTGGTGCAGCCTAGAATTTGTCCATCGCAAAATTCGTACATAACGAAAAGATTTTTATGTCCGGCCGATTTCACCATCAACTGCAATAGCCCAACCTACAGCCCCAAACAATGTGTGCACAAGTGCCGTGCACCATTGCTGAACTCTTAATAAGCAAGAATCCACCGTTGTAGTTTAAAAAATGTGGACTGTGACGGTGACACAGCTCTTTTTAAAAAAATGTGTGTCTCAGTGGGGATTGTGATAAAATACATCTGTGAAAAAAATTAACATCCAGAAATAGCAAATTGTTTTTTTGCGGACCCAGCACCCGGTTGGATGGATTGTTTTCAAAGGAATGCTTTGATGAAAGTACCTGTACTACACATACATATCTTGATGGAATGTGTGTTTATCTGACGTTTGTCAACGCGTGTAATTTTCAGGCGTAGGCATTTTAATTTTACTAATTCAGATTTCAGGTTTTTGAACCTGTCAGTGCTTTCACCCATGTCTAACAAGCAATTCTGTTTGATAATTCTTTATAGTTAACGTAGACTTGATGTCAGTACATTATATTCTTTACTGTTTCAAATAAATGTCACTGGCAGTTGTATTTGCAGCTCTGCGTTAATCACCTGCATATTGCGTACTTTCAAATGCTAATGTGGCGAGGGGAAGTACTTTTGGCCTTACTTGTATTTCTGCATTTCTTTTTTATTTTCTCAGTGTTATTTTCTTTATTTAGTTAGCATATAGGCACATATGTGTCATTGCAAAAATGGGATCAAACTACTATGCTGTCTTCTAAATCATACAATAATCTAGCCTATACAGTAGTCTCCACCTAAGATCCCACCGCTTACAGTTCTGGCTGTTTTAAGAAAAATGCTGTAAAGAAAAAGCTCCTACTGTGAACAACTCGCTTTTTGAAGAGGATTATAGCATGAAGGAATTCAGTCAGGTCCTCAAAAAGCTAAGGGAAAAGAAAGCACCAGGACCAGATAAAATACACAACGAAATTCTGTACAACCTTGGTGCTAAAGGAAAAGAAGTTCTTCTTTCCCTGATAAATACCATGTGGAGAACGAGTGGAATACCAAAGGCATGAAGGATCGCCCAGATTATACCGCTCCTGAAAAATGGGAAACCCGCTGGAGAAGCGAAAAGCTACCGACCTATCTCATTAACATCATGTACCAGTAAGCTTGCTGAAAGAATAATAAACAACCGCCTCTACTGGTACCTGGAAAACACTAACAGCTTAAACCCACACCAAGGAGGCTACAGAAAAGGCAGCAGTACTGAAGATCAACTTTTGAAACTGAGTCAAAACACCCAGGATGGATTTCAGGAGACTAAACACACTGTCGCCATCTTTGTAGATCTCCAACAGGCGTACGACAGAGTGTGGAGAAAAGGCCTACTCATGAAATTGATTGACCCTGGGATACATGGCAAACTTTACAAATGGATCAAGCTCTTCCTGTCGGATTGAAACATTGAAACCAAGGTATACGATGCCCACTCGTCAAGAGAAGTACTCAAGGAAGGCCTACCTCAAGGTTCCTGTCTGAGTTGCATTTTGTTCCTGATCTTCTTTAATGATGTAACGAACGCGCTAAAATCAGAAAAGACTCTTTATGCTGATGATCTTGCTCTCTGGCAGACACATCACAGCATAATAGTAGGAGCAGGGAAATTAAATGAAGACCTCAAGAGGCTCCACAATTACTGTAGGAAATGGAAACTTAAAATAAACTGCACGAAAACAGTATACATCATCTTCATGAAGAGCCATAAAACAGCCAAAGAAAATCTCTAACTAAAGATAGGAAATGAAAGCCTTCCCAAAGAAGAGCATCCAACTTACCTAGAAGTCAAACTTGACCATAGTCTAACCATGAAAAGCCAAGTGGAGAACATAAAGAACAAGGGAAAAAAAAAGACTCCAACTTTTAAAGAAACTCGCAAGCAGTTCATGGGGATCAAACAAACAAACTCTGAGAGCTATACCTTGGTCATGTCCAATCTTCCCTGGAATATAGCCTACTCATTATGTGCAGTACAACTACTTGCAATATCCTTGACAAGGTCCAAAACAATGCCCTTCGTTTTATAAATGGTGGCATGAGATCCACACCTACCGCCGCGTGCGAAATCTTTTCAAATGTTGAACCACTGGGAATCCGCAGAGATAAAGCAGTTTTGGAGCTACATGAAAGAACTAAAAGAATGTGCCCAACCACCCTAACAGGAAATTAGTAGAATATGGAAACCAAAGAAACGAATTCAACAAAAGCCAATCAAGCATCACATCACAGAACTAATGGAGAGCCACCATCTACCACAAAACAGAAAAGAAACCAAAAGAGTCAACCAAAACATCCCTCCCCACCTTTCTTTGAAAAAGCCAATCATTACATCATCTCTCAGAGACAAGAGCACAAAATCTTCAGACCCAGTGACGCTGATGCTTGCATCACATCAAACAATCGACAGCTATTCAGATGACTGGATACACGTCTATATGGACAGCTCAGCATTCAAAGGCACAACCAAAGCCAGATATGGAATACTAATACAGTACCCAGATGGAAGTTCCAATGAGTTCTCTGCAGCCTGTGGAGAGAAATGCAGCAACTACGATGCAGAAATGATGGCAATTGAAACAGCACTGTACCATCTCCGCACAGTTTTTGACACTCATCCTGGAAAAGACCAGAGTATTGTGATTTTCACTGACTCACTATCAGTCTTACAAGCTATAGAAAATGACCATCTTCTAAACCAAGATTTGACCCATATACTGTTTGGCTTCCATCATCTGATAACATTCTGTGGCATCAACCTAGTAATGTAGTGGGTCCCTGGACACTCAAATATACCTGGAAATGACAGACCAGACACACTTGCCAAACGGGGATCTAGACAGGAACAACCCAACATTCCAACTTCATACAACACTGCAAAACAAATCATTAAAATCAACAATAAACACGATTGGATGAACAGATGGGCCCTGGGAAAGACAAGCAGAGCAGTTTTCAGACATATGACCACAACAAAAAGAAATGACAATATCTATCGCATACAGAGAAAGAAACAGACCACGATCTTCTGCCTACGAACAGAACATATACAGCTCAACTTCCTCCTGAACAGAATAAACCCGGAACTTCCCCCAATGTGCCCCTTGTGTGACTATGCATATGAGACTGTGGATCATCACCTGTTCCACTGCACAGCCCTAAATGACATCAGAGCTACCCATCTCCCTCCAAGACCTAACATTGACAACACACTCTATGAAACATTACAGCAACTGCAGCAAACCTGCACTTATCACTACATGGCATTTGACAGAAGGGTGAGAGCCCAGCTGTTGCTGGATCGATAACAACAACAACAAAAATGCTCTCCTTCCTTTTTATATTTGTTACTCTCTTGTAACAAATTTAATCTTTGGCACTTATATGACTCTACAAGTTTGCTCCAGGCAGAATCACATTGAACTGAGAACTCTTCCCTGACCAATGCAGCAGTTGTACACCCGAATTTGTGGCACAGACATGCCACAGTGATTGGTCTTCACAGCTGACCACTCTACATCTTGTCCTTTCTCAGTTCTTACAATTACAACTCTCACACCGATAGGTCTACTTGAGCCATTCGAGTTATTACTCTACTTTGAGTTTGAGCAATAATCTTGATGAAAAAAATAAAGGTATTATGGGTTGTTGGTATTCTCTTCAAACAGGCTCCTCAGTGCCATTTTTAACCCTCTAAAAGCACTAAATTGCAATTTTTTCAGGGTCTTTTCCCCCTGAACCCCCACCAGGACGCTGTCCCTGGTACATGCTGGAGGTGGCAAAGGTCCCCAGAACCCCAGCAAAATTTTCCTTACTTTTCGTCTTCAGCTGTTGGAAGCACTGCATGATAAGTCATAAACCCACCCAGTTGTGGACCTAAACATGGGTCACTGTAGATTTTTACCTTGGTGAGTCAGCTAAGATCCAGTTCACCTAGGATCCCAAATTTTCCTTGCTCCTGAGCACCAAGATCTTAGGCAGAGACTACTGTACTAAAATATATCAGTTCGGATATATTGTTATGATCCGTTTAACAATACAGTATTCATCCCACTCTCCATACAAAGATATATTAATGACAAATTTAAAGTCATGTGCCAGTGACTATCAACATATAGATCTTGAAAGTAGATCTAAGCTAGAAATGAGGCTTATCTCTTTCTATTTTGAAGCATTTCCAATTACAGTCGAACCTGTGTAAGATGACCACTCGTTGTCAAGGAGAAAAGTGGCTGTATAAGACAGGTGGCCGTCTTAGGCAGGACTGATCAAGATGAAGAAAACTAACCCTTTCTTTCTTAGGTCGCCACATTGTTGTTGTTGCTTTCGCTGTTTTTTTTTTCTTCTCTTTTTTTTATATTTTGTTGCTGCTTTTGTGCAAGTTTGACAATATAACAAAATGTGTCAGACAAAGAGGACTGAGTGCTATGGTAAAACAAACACATTGGTTACCACCACTCTGAGAACGAGCGACGCTTCTGTCACAAGTTCATGTTGACGTCTATTGTTTCTTTGTTACAGACTGGGTAAACAACAGTGACCACTCATCTCACTTACGATTTGTGTTTGAGTTCTGGGCAGGGCTTATGGGTTATGAGGGATCACACGCGTACCTCACCAGCAGCTGAAAATTTGTTACCTTTTTGGTCAAAAGTGGGAGGGGCCTATGCAACATGATCGGTTGGAGTGACTACCTAACAATAACGACAGATGATTGAATTATGACGGCTCGCCCACAACGCTGGGGTCCAATGCATGATTTATGACAAAATGTAATGGAGTCACTAAGGTGGCCGTTTAAGACGGGTTATTGTTAGGTGTGATAAGGGTTGTGTGTTAAAATATGGTGGCCGTGGCTGCGTTGGACAGGTGCCCGTTTTACACAGTTAAATTATATAGAAAAAACGCAAGGGGGGAAATGGAAAGTGGCCGTTTTTACAGGTGGCCGTCTTATAGAGGTGGCCGTCATGGCATGTTTGATTGTACCTTGAACAGGCAAGATGAAATATGTTCATTTAAGAATTCTTTGAACAAAGTCATGGTATATTTCCTCTTATGTAGCATGTGCACAAGTTCAATACGTTTTCTAAAATATCCTTTGTAAAACAGTAGAAAAAGGATCGCAGTGGACCTGTTTGAGAACGCAAGAGAGTAAGTACGTCTACACACAACAGTGAGCAGGTTAATGGCTGTCCTACCTTCTTGTCATGGAATATTTCAGCCAGCAGGATTCCTAAAGAATGAACTTTTCACCTTATCCCATACCAGAGATCTGTTCTTCTAAACCATACAATCGACTCCTTTTGTGTTGAACTCGCTTAACTTAATCCTCTGATAAGTTGATTTTTATTTTTTTTGGAGACGGGGGGGGGGGGTGTCCCAACTCTTCTTCTCCTTTACATTTGTTAAAGTCACAAAGGGCAAAGGGTTATGTTGAGTTCAACTCAAACAAAATTCACTTGAGTTGAAGTGCTTTTTTTATCCCCAGCTGCAAGTAAGCAATGACTGAATTGATTTTTTTTGCGTCTGTATCATCGGATATTTTGCAGCAGTTATGAAAATACAATAATTAGGTAGAGCTGATCAACGCGCAATAGACGTGCACGACCTCGGTGCTTTCTTGTCGTAACTTAATTTTTGTAACAGTGAAAATGTGACATCTTATTAGGCTCACTCTTTGTTATGACTATTTTCTCTGTTATCGAAAATAGAGATATAACAAGAAAAGCACTGGGGTCGTGCTATGTAGTACATGTGTGTACTATGTACCTCAATGAAAGGGTGAAGGGAGTGCAAGGAGTGTGTGTGTGTGACGACATGAAGCAACAACTACTTGCTTTATTGTTTCCCTCAAGGCTGAATGGAATGACATGGTGAAAGACAATGGGTATTACAATAAAATCTCAGTATAACGTTCTTGGCTGAAAACATACTCTAGGCAGTAACATTCATTTTCTGAAGATCCGAGTCCAGTCACTTTAACATTCACTTTTCAAGGGTTTAAAGTGTTAAGTTTTGTAACAACGTACACTGTGCATTGTGAGAATAAAGAAATTGGTAAAAGACGATAGTTTTACTCTACTGGAAATAAAACAGAATCAGTACTTATTATGTAAGTGGACCATCTGTTAGTTTTGCTACTTGGGGACGCTTGCATCTCTCTGTCTGTTTCTCTCTCTCTCTCTCTCTCTCTCTCTCTCTCTCACACTCTCTCTCTGTCTCTCTCTCTCTCTGTCTCTCTTTCACTCATGCACACTCAGACACAATGCGTGAGCCACGAGCTCACTGTGATTAATCAGGTGAATCTGTCACCGCCAATTTACAACAGTATTATTATTTAAAATATGAGTACTGTTGAAAATGTTGTTATATCCCCCGGTTTTAAGATGCAGATGCTGAAGTTGAACTTCGGATGAGTTGATCTTTTTTTCATTCCCCCGACGACATTAACTCAATGGTAGTCAACTGCACTGCCATATCCGTGACTCTTTGCTTTCTATAAAAACTGCCCCATGAAGTGTGCACACCATGGGCTGCACCATTACGTTCAAATGAAAAGCGAAACACAAGTCTCACAAAATTGAGAGGTCACTTTTACTTTTAGTTAAGTCTTTATCGTGTGAGGTGGGGTTCCCCACAATGCTGGACCGTCTCTTGATATGAAACCTGAAAGTGACATAAACGTCACTAAATTGGTCATTGAATAAAAAAAAAATTGACCCAATTTTGATAGCTCTTCATCTAAGGAAAGAACTCCTGCGCGGTAAGAGAGACCTGTTTTCAGCACTTGCTGAAATTTAATTTAACATAGTCATCCTTGTAAAGGAATGTGATCCAGCTGCTGCCAGCGGCTCACCAGTACAGCAGTTCTGTTCACTAGCTGCTGGGAGCGGCTTGCTGGAGAAGTGTATCTCTATGTATCTACTCCTGCATTATAGGTGCAATTCTGCTACTATATTTTATTAACCAACAACCAAAAAACCTATCCAAGATGGTTTCACAAATCTCTCATTGCCTTATACGTTGCCATAAATTTTATATAGCCCCTGACATTTCAGATGAGCCATCATAATCCATTCACCTGTCATTATTGTTACCTGTTCTTATGAATGAACCAATCACTGATGTGATGGCATGTTGAGAAGGTTTTGCCCCCCCCCCCCCACTCCCCACTCTGCACCTTGTTTACCCAAGTTGACCAGTTGGCAAATATCCAATGAGCTTTATGACAGTTCTGAGCCTTCAATCACCTCCGTTTGGGACCTCCGAAGGAATAGGTGTTCTTTTGTTTTGATCAGTCTTCCCTGAGACGGCCACTTTTTTCCCCGGCAATGGGTGGCTGTCTTTGACAATTTTGACTATATGAGCAAAAAACAGCCAAATTATGTTGATTGGTGTGTATAACATTTACATTCTACCATAAGCACCAACTTCCCCTGGCTCTACAATTATAAATAATCATGAAACTCATGGTGACTGAACAACAATGGGTATGTGGTGTTCAGCGCTGCATCATCTGATACTTTAAAGAATGCTGATGTAGGCAAATGACCCCCTATAATTTTGAGTGCAAACTGTTCACTGTATTACGTAAGAAAAATAATCTGCTGTCTTTTCAGAACAGAATAACGTAGGGGTGCCAACAAGGTGGACTGCTCCAGAGTCTTTGGAGAAAGGAGAGTACACCAGGGAATCTGATGTTTACATGTTTGGCCACCTTATGTATGAAGTTCTCACTCATGGATTGATGCCCTACTCTCATATACAGATGTCAGATTCAGAAATCGTACCGCTGGTAAACTGTCTGTGTCTCTGTTTTTTATTGTGAGTCACAAGTCAACTTCAGGATGTAGCATATTAACCTATTCTGAAAGAGGAACCATCACTAAATAAAAAGGCATTTACTGTTTGAAAAAAGAATTTTGAGCAACAGAGATATTATCCAGTTAATGAACCTCACCTCTTGAAATTTACTTCATAAAAGACTGAGCCTGAAATTGGAGCTACATTATCTGCTTTGTAACTTGAAATTCTAGTAAAGTAATAAGGCCCTAAATTCAGTATTCTTGATACTTTGTATTAAGTAAGGTTGTTTTCATGTCATGTCATTACACTATAAATTTTCAAACAAAATGGATGTTTAGGCTGTCAGGAATGGTGTTTTAATTTAAAATATGTCTTTTTGCTTGCTTCCTTCAGCTGGGAAACAGCTCTAAGCATACATTGTTTAGATTTGTGTCTGTCAGAACTCTCCAAGTCTATCTGTTCCTTACACTATTTTTACTTTTTACAGATAATTGATGGCAATGCAAGCTTGTGTAGGGAAGCATGTATTGAGAAGTCGTCTTTCAAAATTATCGGCGAGTGTGTTCAGCATGCGCCCTGCAACAGACCAGACATGAGCAGTCTGCAGTCTATGCTAGAGGATCTCTACAACTGTAAGAGACAAGCTCTTATGTCTGTTGTCTTTTCCTTACAATGTAAAACTAATAATCTAGCAAGACACGACATCATACAATTTTCATACCGTTACTTTTTTTGTGTCACTGGTAAGACATATTTTTCTAATTTCTATAGCAGGTAGTTGGAAGGCACTACTGGTAGGTCTACTTGTTTTCTTTCCTTCTTTTGTTTCTATCTGTCTTTCTTACATTTTTCTGAATCACTGTTATTGTGTTGATGTGCTGCTGTTTACTGAAACTCAAACTCAATCCCAATCTTGATAAAGTGTAATATTGATTTTGCCTTAAACTGTCATATTTTAAGTTTTTATATCTACTCTGTGCGAAAAACGCAAATATTTATGTATAACATCATATGTATCTGTTTAGAAGTGAGTTCTGAACATAGAGTTGAATTGCTTTTCTTCTTTTCTTGTAAACGTCTCTGTAAGTGCTCTCTAGTTTGTAGGCTGCAGACTATTGGTTTATTTACTTTATTTCAACCAGCATCTTGTTTTGATGCAATGTTTTACTTCTTTGTTTTGAACAGAGCATGTCTGTATCTTTTCCAAAATTTATTCCACTTCAAAAGATATTTTAAAAATATTTATTTTGCTGATAATTCAACGTTGAAATGATTACATTGTTCACATGATTCCACAGTGGGTATTTTTATTTTAGCTTTTAATCCTCTTGCTCAACTAAAAATATGTTTCTATTGAAAAGTTGGTAAGCTTAAGTAATTTGCTGATTGAAAAAATAGAAAAAATTATTACATTCTTATAATTTCTTATTACAGAATGCAATATGAAGACACTTGTGTAAAGAAACAGTATATAATTGATTGATATGGATAAAACCTCAGCATTATGCTGTTGGGCCTCCAAGTTAGTTTAACACTAAGTTATTTCATGTGTCACGACGCCGTGGAATTGGTGCTCGTCAATTTTTAGGCGTTTAGAGTTATTGGTAGGCTATTGTCTTGAAGCTTGTTCATTTGTCTTTCTTCCTATGAAAAAAATACCCACCTATTATGAAAAAAAGTTGAGATATTTGTTACTGAAGCTGGTGGGGGTTGCCTGGTTTTAGAGGTAAAATTAACAAGAAAATGGCTGCCAAAGTTTGGTAACTTTCATAGCTGGAGAGTCCTTGGAAACTGCAAATTTACATTTTTTGTGCCTTTAATCAATGTTTTTCCGTAAAATCGCGACTGAAATGTGCTTTAAAATAGAATTTAGAGGAGTCTAGTCAAAAACAAAAATCCAGTACAAATAACCCCGCCGCCGGAAAAATGCTGGTTTCTTCGATTCCACTATTTCGACGAGTGCCTGATTTCACCATGATGCCTCACATATGATGTATAGCAACTCACTTACAATTGTTTTTATAGCTCAATAATGTGACCTTTAATCTTTTTTCTGCAGGGGTTTCAGAGAATCCTTCAGAGAAAATACGTCAGTATCCTGATTTAACAAAAGGAACAGGAAGGTCTTCAACTCAATACAAAGTGGTAAGTTAAATCCTTTAAGGGGAGGAGCGACCCTTGATTTTGCAGATTTTGGGTCAAGCTATGCAAATTTTATGTTTAGCTGATTTTTGAAGATCAACAAGTTTTTTGTCTAAAATTAGCATGGAGACAAGTGAGAAAGTCTTTATTCTCTTCGTAAATTGCCTTTGAAAACATGAGGATGGGTTAATATAGTGAATTTTCTCAATAATTGTCGTTTTTCGCAAAATGTAATTTTTTGGCAGTTTTTCCCTACTCCTTCCTTAGTTTTCATCCTTTTAACATGAAACTTTCAGAAAACATAGATGGTAAGGCTGCCATCAATATAACAGAGAGATATTTGCGAAAAAAAATAACACATTTCCATAAGCAAGCGATTACGCTACCTAAATTTAGAATAAGTTTTTTTTTATACTTTGGGAAAATTCTTATATTTTTTCTTCTTTTGCACTTATTGAAAAAAACTTGCTGTTACTCTGATAGGGTCTGGTTCAGGTATGCTCTCACAAAATTTGGTCAAGACCAAATTTGGTCAGTAAATAAGAAATCCGTAGGGATTTGAAATTCATTGTTTATTTTCAAGATGGTGGCCATTTCCATAGTGTTATGTTACGACTTACTTAAGTCTTGGAGTAGTAGATATAGATGATAGTTGATGTTGGTGGGGCCCCACCTGCCGGTCGTCTGCTAGTTCTTCGTTAGCCGATGTTACTCGCTTTGGCTTCAGTGAGAGAGTGACCTTCAGATTTCCCGCCGCTTGCATGAAATCACAGTCACGTGAAATGTCCCTTAGGCCTACGTCACAATAATTATTATTAAGGTGTGTTCACGCTACATGTCCTTCTATTCTTAAGGTGCGTTTACACCACATCTACTCCTCTTTATATGAGGAAATGACTTGAAAGGGCCAAAGCCCCAAATAACGAAATCAACTCTTAGGGCGACAACTATAACAAATTAGTTTTCCTTCCCAGGAACAAAACACTATATACATCATCTGATATTTACACTAGGAAGAGAGAGTACTCCAAATCCAGTACCTCTCTCGGCCTGACCAGTCTTCCACTTCTAGTGACAACTGGCTTTGTCTCCGTCTCATTTGAAAGGCTACTTGCAGGATCAATTTGAATTATCCCTGGCTCAGTTTGAGGTTGCCCTAACGTTGGTAAATTATTACTATCCCTGGGTATAGTAGGAGGTATGGACAGATGTTTATCCGATCTTTTTCTAACCTGTTGCCGGTTCCTCCGTGTAACTTGTCCAGAAGAAGTTTGGACGTATTCAGATCTTGGAATTACTTTTGCTTCCTCCAGCCTCAGAGTCTTAAGCCAAACCGACTGTCCTGGTTTTAACTCTGGTAGATTTTTCACTTTATGCCTTCTGTCAAAATTCTCCTTGATTTTTCTTTTTATAATAGCGTCTTTCCTCCGGAATTTTGTACCGTTCTGTCTTTCCTGCAAGGATGGTAGGCTACTCTAGTTCTTAGTTTCTGGTTCATCAGCAGTTCAGCTGGACTCTGTCCCTGGGCCAAAGATGTGGCTCTGTAATTTAAAAGGACCAGAAAAGGGTCCTGTTCTTTCTTGAGCATGTTTTTAATTGTTTGAACTGCTCTCTTTGCTTCTCCATTAGCCGACTGATGATGAAGGCTACTTGTAACATGTTTGAATCCATAATAGGAAGCGAAGTTACAAAACTCTGCTGAAGTATATTGCGTCCCACTGTCAGTAAGTACTGTCCTGGGAATACCCATTCTGGCAAAGATAGCCTTGAAACTGTTGATAACACTCTTGGAAGTAAGAGAAGTAAGGTGTGAAATCTCAATCCATCTGGAACAATAATCCACCACCAGCAGATAATGTTCTCTCTGCCTTTCAAACAGGTCACTTCCTACTTTTTCCCAAGGGTGATCTTGAGTTGGAGTTGGTACTAGCGGTTGAGGAGGCAATACTCTGTGTTTTTCACACTCAGGGCAGTTGTTCACCAGGGTTTCAATATCCTTAGACATCCCAGGCCACCAAATACAGGTGCGTGCTAAAGCCCTACACTTGACTATACCTTGATGCCCCTGGTGGATTCTCTGGAGCATGTCTTGCCTCAGTGAAGATGGAATGACTTGCCTGCATCTGTGCAAGAGAATCCCTTGCTCCACCGCCAAACAATGACGCTCTGCATAGTATAATTTTGATATTTCATGCGTCCTTTGAGGCCAATGGCCCTGAGTGAATGGAATCACCTCTCGGCATTCCTTGTCGCTGTGCTGTGCACGTCAAACTTCCTCTAATCTTTCTTCTGATAAGGGGATCGACTGAAATATTGTACTGACTTCAACTGTTTCCTCTTCTGCTTTATTGTTTTTCAAAGGAGACCTGGATAACGAGTCTGCTGTAACTAGGTCCTTGCCAGCAACATATTCAATGTCGTAAATAAATCTCTACATCCTCATCCTGAATCTCTGTATTCTTGGAGTAAGGAGATCCAAGTCTTTTGCTTTCAACAGCGACAGTAATGGTTTGTGGTCTGTTTCGATTACAAACTTACGGAGACCCACTAAAAATTCTGAAAATTTTTCACAACACCATGTCATAGCCAAAGCTTCCTTTTCAATCTGTGCATACCTAGTCTCGGTATCCGTGAGAGATCTAGATGAGTAGAAAACTGGATTCCTGCCTTCCTGGTCTTTCTGCAGTAGAACTCCTCCAATTCCAAAAGAAGATGCATCTGCAGACACTTTTATTGGCTTGTTTGGGTTGTAATGTTGTAGTACTGGTGTAGAACTAAGTAGAACCTTTATTTCTTCAAAAGCTTTTACTTGTTCTGTCCCCCATGTCCATTCGCTGTCATTCTTAAGCAGGTCTTTTAGAGGTTTTGTCACATCTGGCAGCATAGGTGCAAATTTGCCGACATGATTTACCATTCCCAAAAATCTTCTTAGCTCTGGGACATTTTCTGGTGCCTCAAGCCTGGTAATGGCCTCGACTTTCTCTGGGTCAATGCTGACACTGTTTGCACTGACAATATGTTCAAGAAATTTCACTTTCTTTGTTGAAAACTCACACTTCCCATTTAGTGTAATTCCAGCTTTGTTCATCCGATCCAAGACCAACTTCAGTCTTTCGTCGTGTTCTTTTTTATCTCTTCCTCCTACAAGAACATCATCAATGTCACATATCACACCTGGTATTCCTGCCACGATGTTTGACATTTTTCTATGGAATATTTCAGGACCAGAATTGATCCCAAAGGGCAGTCTTTGGTAACAAAATCTCCCAAAAGCCGTAATAAAAGTAGTTAACTCTTGAGACCTTTCGTCTAGAGGAAATTTGATGAAATGATTTGTTACAATCCAGCTTGCTGAAAACTGTAGCTCCATTCAACTGTGCCAATAACTGGTCAGTAGTAGGAAGAGGGTAGTTCTCTCTTTTAACACTTTCATTTAGTTTAGTGTAATCACAACATAGCCTGACTTTTCCTGATGGCTTGAGAACAGCTACTATAGGAGCACACCCATCAGTAGGTTTGGTAACAGGTCTGATGATTCCTTGTTCCTGTAGAGATTTTAGTTCTTCTTCAACTTTATTTTTTAGTGGAAGAGGCAGCCTTCTAGGGCAGGTAAGGTTAAATGGCTTTGCATTGTTCTTTCAACTCAATAGTATATTCATTGGTTGTTTTTCCTAAGCCTTGGAAAAGACCAGCATACTTAAGTTTTCGGTCAAACTTAGCTTCTGACTATCCATTTACAACTTCCACCACTTTAAGTGCTTCAATGGCAGGTCTGCCTAACAGCGGTTTTCTGAGTCCCTTGATAACGTATAAGTCTTGTTCTGAATTACAACTGTTCTTCTTCAGGGTTGCCGTGAATACACCGATTACATATAGTTTTGACAATGGCAGGTCTGCCTAACAGCAGTTTTCTGAGTCCCTTGATAACGTATAAGTCTTGTTCTGACTTACAACTGTTCTTTTTCAGGGTTGCCGTGAATACACCGATTACATCTAGTTTTGACCCTCCCGGTCCATAGAGTTTCTTGTCAGTTTGCTTTAGCACTTTTGTGTCTCTAAAATTTTTGTCTGAGACTACAGACACGTCAACTCCTGTGTCTATATGAAATGTCATTTTCTGACTGTTGACTAATATCTCTGTGTGCCAGTTATTCACCAAATTTATTTCGTGTATTGAACCCAGGATGGTTCTTGTGGTATTATCATCACAGTCTGATTCTTCTACTCGTCTCACTTCTTTTGTTCTGCACTGTGAAGCATAATGTCCTATCTTTTTGCATTTGTAACACTCTTAATGCTGGACAATCTTGGTTATTTCTATGTGAATCATATCCACACCTTGTGCATTTCCTTTTTGAAGACTGTTGTTTTCTATCCTTTGGATATTGTGACCTCTTATCACTTGAAAACTGCTTCTTTTCTTCTGGAAACAATTTCTTTCTGTCTTTTGACATAACTCTGTCAACTGCTAATTCTTTCATTTCATTTAGCTTGACTTGACTAGCCTCAAAGGCTCTTGCTATGTCTATTGCCTTCTTGAGATCTAACTTGGGGTCTTCCAACAACTTTTCTCTCACATGGTCAGTCTTGCAGCCAACTAAAATTCTGTCGCGAATCATGCGATCTTCAAATGCTTCAAAGTTGCACCCTCTGGCCAATTTTCTTAGCTCCGCAACATAGGCAGCAATGGATTCATTAGGTTCATGTACTCTGACATGAAAGCGGTATGAATCGAATGCCTCATGAGTTGTTCCCATGCAAAATTCCTCAAACTTCTTGAGTACTGTATCGATATCATCCTGTTCCTCTTTGGAACTAAACTTAAATCCATCAAATTTGTCCATCGCATCTTCCCCTTTAACTGTCAATAAGACTGCACGCCTAAACTGTTTTGACTCTTTGATCAAGTTTGAAGCAATCTCATAATTCTTCCATGCCCTCGAAAACTTTCTCCAGTTTGATTGCAAAGCACTTTCCTCGCTAATGTTTAATTTTTGAGGCGGCTGTATTTGAGCTGGAAATCTGGACTTTGTCCCTTCCATATTGAGGCTTGGTTGACTAGTTTCAATGGGTTTAGATTCAGGCGACTAGATTTAGCGTCATAGGCCTACAGATAGGTTTCTAGATCTAGTAGAAAATTTCACGTGTCTCGATCTGTGTCTAATCTTCTAATCTACAGATCTAATCTAGAGTCTACATTGCGATTTCAATATTTGCACTTGGATTCGTACTGTCCGTATCTCTGCGCACTTCTGACACCATGTTATGTTACGACTTACTTGAGTCTTGGAGTAGTTGATCTAGATGATAGTTGATGTTGGTGGGGCCCCACCTGCCGGTCGTCTGTTAGTTCTTCGTAAGCCGATGTTACTCGCTTTGGCTTCAGTGAGAGAGTGACCTTCAGATTTCCCACCGCTTGCACGAAATCACAGTCATGTGATACGTCCCTTAGGCCTACGTCACAATAATTATTATTAAGGTGTGTTCACGCTACATGTCCTTCTATTCTTAAGGTGTGTTTACACCTCACATAGCAACCGCTGTAGCTATGCCAAAATAAAATTGCGTCTCAAGAGATTTTACTATGCCTAACTTAAAAATGTGTACTTAGATTTGATCTCGGGCAACAAACATAAAAAATGATCCTCAAGGGTAGCTCCTCCTGTTAAGAAAGTAGAAAAGGGAGAGGTTTGGAGGGAAAGGAGGGGGAGACTGACCTAACAAAAGTTTTAGGTTCAGTTTTTTTGTTCATAATCTGAAACAATTTTGTGAATAAGTCAATAAGTCCTGTATGGGCACAGATTGTAACAGATCTTATTTCATAATGATTTTCCCTGAACTTTGTTCTTCTGTAACTTGTTAACAAAACAAGGGGGACATTAACATGTTCTTATGAATGGGCATATTTATCAATGTCAAGCTCATACTGTGCCGGAACAACATAGGGGAACTGCTGCTTTTTCCACCCCTTGGCACTCCTATGACCTTATGCAGTTGCCTGCGCCGTAATACCTTACTAAAACAATAAGGTGTCCCTTCGTTACTTCCTCTGTAGCTCGGGCCTGTCTTGCTAATGAGTTTGATGAGATCAATAGCTCTATTTTTCATTAGTGGTCTATTTCTAATATGAGGTGCCTATTACGGATTGGATCGGCGGGTCGGACCGATCGCCCGACTTGGTTGTCTGAAATTTGTTTTTAGTTTCGGGCGACCGAGTCAGGCGATCGGCTCGATCCAGCCATAATGGGAACCCCGTATTAGCTCTTCATAATGACTTGCTAACATTGGTTGACCAAAGAAAGTATTCAACTTAAAACCTTGAAATGACAGTGATCTGAGGGAAGGAGTTTTGTTAATGGCAATTTTTTAAAATCCAACAAAACGCCCAATTTATCCTAGTGGTACTGGTCCTCCAGGCATTTCCCAAATACTCATTGGCCTGTCCGCCCCAGCCTGGACAAATGACATTAGGGAAACATATAGAACACATAAGAAAGCACAGAAATGAATCTTTTCTGCCTAATTCGATGATATGAGAGAATAAAACACAGTTCAATAATGGACTTGTAACATGTTATTTACATTAAGATTTAGAGTTTGATGTACCTTGTCAAGACTCCTATCTTGATTGTTAGATAAAAGAATAATCATTTTAAAAAGCTTTCATTGAGCCCTTATTTTCCCATGCTAGCCTAAAATATCAAGAGAGTCAATAATTTTTCATAAGTATTTTCTTGTTCTATTTATAGTTTAGCCTGCATGATAAGGATTCCTCTTCCACATTTGATAATTACTTACAATTTTCAAAACTTTTTTCTGTGTTTTGAAATTTGCAGGGAGCTATGCAGCATCACCGTGAGTACTTTTACGTGTAGTTACATGCACCTCTTACCTGTATGTAGAATAAGCTTGTTTGAGTTTTTAAGCAGATAAATGTCAAGTTTGTAGTAGTAGGTACCACAGACTGAAATTTCAAAGTCCTCTGATTTCATAGTTAACTGCACCACCTTATATATAGAATGTATTATTTTGAGCATTTTGATACCAAATTTAAACAAAGCTATGAATGTCTGAAGTTGCAGAAAACGCTATATCTTTTAAATTGCGAAATGTCTACACTTTGAGATGTCATATCATTCTTAAATTTGAATGGACATTAACAAAAACTTGTAAACACACACCCATGCACATAGAGAACAAGCCCAATTTTTTTCTGGGGTATCTTATAACCAAAAGATGGAAATATATTGACGTAAACATGGCTTTTTGAATAAAATGGCAAGAAATACAAGGGGAGGTTGAAAATCACTACTCATGACCACCGGCTTCTCCGCTGTGTGCCGGGCCACGTCGATGGGAAGGAAAAAGAATTTATACGAAACTGGCCCGATGATGGCCCTGCTTGCAAGCTGATGGGGAGGGTCCGATATTTATTTTCGTATAATGGCTGTGTTATTCTTGAAGAGGAGCTTTCTAGCGATATATTTCCATAGTCAGTCTGATCACTGGTTCCATAAAAAAACAGCGTCGAAAGTTTTCACGTGAAATCTCTTCTATTAATTCTTTAAGGACAGTCTTTAGAAATATATCTCCGGAAAGAGTGTTTTCTCATCTTAGAATATCAATGAATCAGATTGCAGTATTTATTGCCATACACTCCCCGTTTCAGTTCAACCGAGGTCACCCCAAAAATTGATGCATGAGACGTGTGGTCGCTGCAGTGAAAACTTTGATAGTGTTGTCTTTTATCCCTCAAGATTTTGCTTTCAAAAGAATCGTTGATTCAAATAAATAATACCACTAAAAAGAGGGAAAGCTCTTCTTTCTTCTGATATACCAAGTGTCTGTGTATATAATATGCATGATCACACAGTGTTTTAGGAGGGTAAAAATATGGGTCTCCGCGACCACCCCCAATGCACGTCCAGTTTGCGGTAGCCTACCTAGTAGTAGTCAATATAGTAAGGAAATGCCAACTACACACTCTTTATTGGACAAAAATCTTTTTGTTGACAGCTGTCAGAGACTTTACTTATTGCTTGTCAGTGTAAGAAAAAAAAACCTGATTATTTTTTTTCTGGTTTATTGTATCCTTTATGGCTCGGACATGCATAGATACAACAGTTTCTAAATGTGGGTCATTGTTATGGAATCCGGTGCTTGTCAAATCTAAGGAAATGGGGAAATCAGTGTTTTCGGACAGTTAGGCGATTTTAATCAATTTTTTGTTGTTGCATAGAAACCTTCTCCATTAATTAACATACTGGAGACTGGGCCTTTTTCGGGTCTACGTACGCTGAAGACTGGCGTTTTTGGGGGGTATTTCAATATTTCAAACAACACCCTTCCCAAAGACATATAACCACCATTTTTAAACACATAACAGATCTTAACATGCCCAATATGACACAAAAAACAGAAAGGCAATATCTTTTATACTTATTTAGAAATGATTTTTTAAATATGTGCTAAAATGTGTTGCTTTCCAAATTTTTTTGACGTTATGTCTTATGTTAAAAAACCCAACAAAATCCCTAAAAATTAATCTTGTGTGTGTCTTTTATTGTATTTTGTGTTTCAAAATAAATAAAAAAGTCCAAACTCATGAATAGGTAGGTAATCAATATAGTAGACCTTATGTATTAGCAGTCCAATCTAATTCAGTGTGAAAAAAACTGCTCCTGACAAAGCGGAATTTTGCTTTGGAAAGCCTAGTCTAGATCTAGAACATTGGCTATCAGAATCCGGGCTTTGATGCTCATTTACATTGAAATCAGGATCTCCATGATCTAAAATATCATAATCAGAAATTTTTAAACTGTCAAAGTCGTGCAAACACTTGAAAAATGTTTGCTTTTCGTGCTGCCAAGTGGGTGGTTGGCGGGTGCTCTGGTATGGTTTGCTCCTTTTTTCTTATCAAAGATCTATCGTCCTGATCTCTCCTCCTTCTTTTGTGTATTTGTTACTCTCTTGTAACACCTAATCTTCGACTTTATTGTGTTGCAAGTACCGTAAAACTTACTACTACTAAACTGCTGCCATTGTACTGACAAAATGTTGCGAGAACAGACACCAGTCAAAGAAACGAAAGTAGGGCCTCAGTGTGACTAACTTTCCTTCTGGGTCGATAACTCAAAAAGTTTCCCGCCAATTCTGGTGAAACTTCGGCACGAAACGAAACAAAGGTAGGCTGCACGGTAAGAGATGGTTCACGCAGCATTTGCGCACATACTTTGCCGAGGACAAAACACGAAACTTGTGCTCGCAGGGGTGCGTGAACCGCCTCTCAGGACAATATAGGTGCTCGCAAATGCTACGTGAACCGTCTCCGGTGAGTTAAAGAACACACTTAAAAGGTGAATTTTACTAAAAATGTTGCTTAAAACCAAAAATATGTTATTTTAATTAAAGAATGAGTATGAGTATTCCATTTCATAAGTCACCAAACTATGAAGGCCATTTTCTCACTAATATCTCCTGTAACAGCAGGTTAACCCTGCCTACTGAAATCACACATATATATTGGTTTCTATACAAAATATATCATTATTTTTTTTGACCAAAATTATGAAAAATATGCAAGCTTTATTGTGATAGCAATAACTCCATATGCTCCAAAATTGATGAATGCCTGATTCTGCCGCTCTGGGACACAAATGGTTGACAGTTTCTCTAGCTGATCTTGCCATGCCCCTGAGGATCTATTGTCTTTGATGTAGTCTCCATTTAAAAAGTAACAACACACTTGTGCTCCACCAAGAAAGGTTCCAGTTCTTAAAATTCACGAACTGGTCAGACAAGATGAGAACTCCTGTTTAAGAAAACCCCAGACATATTCATGCAACGAAAATGTATTTGAAATAAAGGGATGGATTAGGTATAACTGCAAAGCTGAAAAAGGAAATCTTCTGTAATTGGTTATCATGTAAAAGGTAGATGCGGTACCTAGTAATTCTTCAGGTATGTACTCCGAAAGGGAGGCATTCCAGTCTCCTTACTGTTATGTACAGTTAGATCAGACAGTATCATTGTTGAGCTCATACTCATATGACATTGGTTAAAACTGCTTTCTTTGTATTAAAAAAATCTAAAATATTGATTTCAAAGCCAACTTGTTGATGTTTCTTTCTTGTGAGGAAGTTATATACTAGTGATCTCTGTCTTTTTCTACCGAAGGTGCTGAAGTTCGCCCATCTGAAGCCCGGTCGTTCATAGTTCTGACAGAATCACGGCGTGTGTTTCGAGTTGTAAGTGAAGAAAATGCTCATAAAGTTAAGCTAAACAGGGTTCTGAGGTATAGACTGCGGTAATATTACAAAGGGACCTCATGAACACAAACTCACTACTCGAATGATGTGACAAGTGAGTACCCATGAGCTGTGATAGTTGCTTAGTTGTTTGTTGCATTAGCAACCAGTCAGGGCATTGCATTGTTCTAATGATGTCAGTCTAGCAGTTTTTAGACCATGCTTCAATGGAACATGTGAACAGTTCTCCCTAATGGAAACTTTGGCCTGCTCTTTAACGACGATGAAAATTTCGTGTTACTTTTGCCTCTGAGTCTATATATATATGTACACACACACACACACACACACACACACACACACACACACACACACACACACACACATACACACACACACACACACATATATATATATATATATATATATAGATAGATGGATGGATGGATGGATGGATAGATGGATGGATGGATGGATGGATGGATGGATGGATGGTCGGACGGACGGACGGACGGACGGACGGACGGACACATGCACACTTTTATGTTCATATATTTACGGAGCTCTTCTCCTTGCACATATTAAAATAGGCCTATCATTATGCTGTACTTGTGTGATTTTTGTTCTACTTTGGAAAATGTCCTTCTACAACTCAGTCCATTACCTGTCAGGTCTCTTCATGGCCATCTTTTTAGTGCTAATAAATTGGAAAAGTTCCTTTATTCTGTTTTCAGAATGGCAGACTGGTCATCCAGGAAGTATTATCCCGTTCCTGGCCTCCTGAGATGAAGGTTAAAATCGAGACAGAGGTTTTGAGTTCAGTTCTTCCTCCCATCAAGTTGTTCAAAGCTCAAAATGGATCTGAGTTAATTGTAAGTATGAATAGTGATGCGCTTAAGGTGAAATTTGCACAGAAGATTTCTTAAACTTCATTTGATATTGATGGAAGAACATAGTCATGTCCTTTCCAGTTTTATTTTGTGACCTAAAGATGGTCTCACGTCTAATTTATTTCAAATAGTCCTTTGCTGTCAATGATAAAGAAGGCAATACATAAAACCAGGAGTTTTACCAAATATTGTCTGTGCAGTTTTCAATGGCGTTGTTATTGTTTCAAACTAATGTTGATCTTTTCCCTTTCGGATAGAGATCAATTTAGAATTCAGTTGAGGCAACCAAGGCAGTCTAGCTCTTTTTAGAGTTTTAATCACCCAAGCGTTTCTTTTGTGAGCCCGTTTCTTGTTGGACTTTTGAGTTCTTCTTCCTGACCCAAGAAAATTAAGTGCTAGATCCCTCGAGAACTAGGGTCATGGAAGCGCAAGAACCAAAGTTGCTTTTTTCTCCGTGCATGAACTTGGCTTAGTACCAGGTACCGAAGCATGAAAGACAAACTGTACATCAAGGCCAACAAGCCCAGAAGAAGATTTGAATTGACTGATTCACCCCCAGCCTGATTTCCAGCCTTGGCCAAGTCTGTTTTATTCTTACTGGTGATAAAAGGGCGGAGGTTAGTATTCAGTGATAAATCTGTCTAATTTGAATAAAAGCCACACGTGATATACAGTGGTCTCTGCTTAAGATCATGATGTTTGGAAACAAGGAAAATGCAGAATCTTACAGGAATGGGAACTTAACAGATGCAACAAAGGGAGAATCCACGATTAGTCATGTTTAGGCCAACAATTTGTGAAATGTCCTCCCCTTACTTTGAAATGTACTGACGTGACCCATGGGTGGGTTTATGACTTATGGCAAGCAAAGAGTGATTAACCTTGATGACCAATCATAATGGCGTGAACCATGCCATTTTCACTTATCCAGTAGCGAGTCTTAAGATCTCCGTCAGTCTTATAGCTCCTCCTGTCCAAAATTTATAGCTTTCCATCTCTCACGGTGTTCCCCTGTCTCTGTTGTAATGCATCATTGTGTTGTGACCACATCAGTTAAAATACAGTCGGTCAAGCAATTTGAGTGAAGAGACAACTGCTGCAATTGTCAGGAAAACTTATGCACCAAAGAGTTCACAGTTCGATGTAGGCCCTATATACCCACCCAGCTTGTGATGACGCTCATATGACCTTATGCAGTTGCGAGTGCTGTAAAACCTCTACTAAAAAAAACCCAAAAAACCCAGCTTGTAAAGTAAGTTCAAGTGGAGAGCTCAGATGTGTGTGTGATGTTTGGGGAAAAACGAATGCCTCGACGAGTTCACACCATGGTGTGATCTCATCAGGGGCAAACATAGTTCTGTTTCGTCGAGATTTACAAGGAAGATGTGACAGCATTCAAGAAAATTACTGAAACTGAAACAATAAATGATAAATGTGAGTGACAATAAAAAAAATTTTTTGTTCATAATTTTCATCTTACCCCATATGTGTTCGTCAGTAATATTGAATCCAGATCTCATGCTTTTGACATCAAAAAGGTAATCCAAATGAATACCTTGGCCAAATGTTGAAAGCAATTAAAATAAAAGTTTTATTTTTTGGCTCAATACCGTTAAGTCCATTTAAAAACACATTTCTGCATGAATTTTTACTGAAAATGATTAAAAGCATGAAAAATGTAAATTTACACTTTCCAAGGACTTTCAAGTTTTGCAAGTCACCAAACTTCTCGCTAATTTTTTCTCTTACACCAGGCGACCCTCACTTTTCTCAATTGCAAATATCTTGACTTCTATTCAATATAGATCTGTATTTTTTAAAATCAAAAGCAAGACACATGAGCAAGTTTTAAGACGATACCAATAACTCTATATAACTCAAAAATTGACGAATGCATAATCTACCACGTTGTGACACACATTTGTGAGGCTGCATGGGGAAATCACTCGCTCGTCAAAATAACAAAATCGGAGAAACAGGCATCTTTCCGGCAGTTTGGAAAGTTTTATCTTATTTGTATTTTTTGGCTTAACCTCTTTTTGGTCCATATAAAAACTCATTTCCAGGTAAATTTTACTGAAAAACGTTGATTAAAGGCACAAAATGTGTCATTTTTCTGTCTCACTAATTTCATCACTGAAACCAGACGACCTCACTTCCATCAATCACAAATATTTTGAATTCTATCCAAGATAAATGGATATATATATTTATTTAATTGGAAGCAAGGCAAATAAGTCAGCTTTCAGATGATACCAACAATTCCTCATGCCCAAAAATTGATGAGCGCCTGATTCCACCGCGTCGTGACACATTTTTATTTGTCATAATGCTGTGGAATAGGGTGCAGGTCGATTTTGGGACTTATAGAGTTATTGGTATAATCTTAAAGCTTGTTCATTTGCCCTTCTTTAGATGAATTACAAGCCACCCATTTATAATGAATAAAAGTCGAGATGTTTGCAATTGAACAAGGTGGGGGTGGCAGACCTGCCTCTCATCCCGATTGAATCGGGATATCCCGATTTTTGCCCCAAATCTCAAGCATTCCGATTTTCACGATTTTGATCGCTTGTATCCCAATTTTGTTTGTTCTGTCTATTGCGCCGCATTTTTCTAAAAACTTACTCTGCCTTCTTCTCTGTTGCGGAGCACTATTTACCAAATATCGATGCTGGATTCATTAGTTGACTAGCCCTAAGTTGTGTTGGATCTCTACTCGCACGTGTTATTTCAACTTTAATGGAAGTAGCAATGATTTGGCTTTCTGACTTGGGACATTCTCAAGATCTAGACTACTTTTGCTTTTGTTTCCACTGAGAATTCTCTGATGATGGCCTGATAACTGTTTCAATTAAGACATTAAATGATCAATTTTGTGAGTACTTTTGCTGTTACTTTCAAAACATGCTTTGTCCGAGTTCTGGTTAGTTGAGCTCATCATCAAGACCCGTCAGCAAAGCTGTTTCATTAGTTTCAATTGTGTGTTCTTATCACGTGACATGACGTCGGCGTGCGAGTTCCGTTGACGGTTTATGGGGTCAACTTGTGTTCATAATATGGGCACTGGTTGAAGCGTCTTTCAGGACTTATCAGGGAGGGAGGGGGGGCGTTAGACACTTGGACTAGGAGTGCTTGACGTGATACTTCAGGATAAAAAAAATAATAATAACACACACACACACACAGAGGGCACAATATGCATGTATATACATGGATATATATATTTATGGACACCCCTGGGAAATTTTTAATTCAACTTGGCAGTCTCCTTGGTGATTTGTCGTTGAGCCCGATTTTTTTCACCAAAGACCGATTTTTTTTCCCCTGTGATCTTGGATTTTTTTAATATCATAGCAGGTCCAGGGTAGCCTGATGTCAGAGGTAAAACTAGCAAGGAAATGGCCATTAAAGTTTGGTGGCTTCAGAAGCTGTAGTGTTCTTGGAGACTGCAAGTTTATATTGTTTATGCCTTTGAAATCCACACAAGAATGTATTTTTAGATGAAAAGATGTTGTGCCCAAAACAAACAAGAGGAAATATTTTGTTTTCTTCGATTTCTTTATTTATGACTAGCCTGCGTAGCTGTTCTATGAACTGGAAAATAATGTTTTCGAGACAAAAATTAATGTTGCAAGGTAAATAAAAGTGTCAGAACTGCAATAATTTTAAAAAGTTATTTGAATAAAACAGGATGGTTCTATTCTATACCGGAAAAAAAAGAGTAGAATTTTCAAAAGTGAAACTGATGTATATTGTCCAAAACCTCAGGATATATAACAATCCTGGTTTGACTGTTGGGTGCCAAGATGTGAACAGCAAATTTATCTCCAGTTCGGGTTATGACTTCATACAACATTCCATGGGAAAATACTGTGCATGTGAGATCTAGGCCAACTGGATGAAGAGACTGTCCCTGAACTTTATTAATTGTAATGGCAAATCATGGTCTGAGTGGAAATTGTTTTTGTTGGAAAATAAAAGGTAGTCCAATGTCTCTTGGTTGAAGTATAATTCAGGGAATCCAGTGTTTTTCATTCTTGTATGAAAAAATTTCAACCTTGATGACGTTTGGCATGGTTTGTGTTACAACACATCTTGTACCATTCATTAGTTTTGGTGGGTTAAGAGAGCAGAGGACCATTACGAGCATACCAGTCTTTAATTTCAGAACATGGGGTGGAAGGCCAGCCAGTTCAAGGAAGTTCAGGAATTCCACAGGATAGTGGGTTGCATCATCCTGGTTGAGTGCAGTATTTATAGACTGATAGACTTTGGGTGTAGACGACATCATGTCAATGAGTTTTTTTTTTTAAAGACTGTTTCATTTAAAGGAGCTAGTATGGCCCTTTTTGACAGCCATTGCAAATTTTCCAAATTGTCTGCGAAATCAAGAAAAACTTGGTTGATGAGGTCTTCAATAGAAGTAGAATTTTTCCCGAGTTTGAGAACACTGATTATGTCAGGTTCAACAACAACTGATTTCCTTCTGTTTCCAATGTCCAATAATAATTTGAAAGAATGAGGCTTCAAAGTCACCATGTAAGTGAACACACATGTAGAGGACTTTTTGATGCGTGCATTGACAATGTTGGCTCTTGTGCCAGATCTCACTACTGGCAAAAATCTGTCGAAGATCTCCACATTAGAGAATCGGAATGCCACCCATTGTATCTGTTGTGGAGTTAATATCTTGAAACGTCCTGTTCAGAGCTTCAAAGACAGCCTTCTTCAGCATAGGTGCTTCGTCAATTACTATGGCACGGCAGTCATTGATGAGCCTTGCTAAGGATGTCTGCTTCTTGGTAGAACACATTTGTGTCCCTGCCAGTCAATATCAGTCATATCAAGGAAATTTCAAAACTAAGTTAACATTATTTTAAAAAACTATCACCTTTTCCCTACAATTTATAACAAGAAAGAAGTAAATGTGAACATATTTGACGAAAATACTGAACTTTTAATTGTGCGAGGTGAGGAAA